ATCTACAATAAATATGCTCACACTAAAAAGTTAAATCACGTTACCAGGCATACAGGCGGACATTTTTGTGGGGGGAGGGGGGGGCCCAGTTTGTTACACCTTTGCTACGCCACTGCACGCTACGCTAATACGATACGTAAATACGGCACGGGTCTGTGATGGTGCTCCTCCTCTCCTGCTCGTTCTGTTTAAAGTGCGCCCTGAAATATGTCTGAGGGCAAAAGAACTAGATATGCGAGAAGATGACTATACAAGCGCTCTTGTATTATTTCACTAAAGTACCTATCCCGATCAACAGGTGTATCGTAAACAAAGCGTAGGCTGACAGGCAACAATACGGCGTGACACCTTGCATAGTAGTTTTTTTAGAGGCCTTCATGGTGTTTGGATGCTTTTACTGGATTGATTGATTGATTTGTGGGGTTTAACGTCCCAAAACCACCATATGATTATGAGAGACGCCGTAGTGGAGGGCTCCGGAAATTTTGACCACCTGGGGTTCTTTAACGTGCACCCAAATCTGAGTACACGGGCGATGCTTTTACTGGAGTTAGGAGCGCCGAAAGCACAATGAACGAGAGAGGAGGGGTGTACCGACTATAATCTACCGAGTCCCGTACTGTATTTGCGATCCATACCTTCCTAACTTTCTAGTTTCCACAACTATTTCTCGAAACGCAGTACTACCAAACAAGCAGCGCACTCCAGAGACAGAGAGGAGGTGCCGTCGCCGCCGCGCCGAGACAGGCGCCGACGCAATCGTGTGCAGTTGCGCCAGGACACAAAGGCACAGCGTACCGTGACGAACGACGAACCAAAAGCATGCCACCAGCCGCGTGATCTTTGTCATATTACACACGCCAGTGTTGGGGAATGGGTGCCTCCATTCCACTCCAATTCCGTTCCGGGGAATTAAAACTTGCCGCAATTCCATTCCTTTAAATTCCTCGGAACTAAAAAAACTTTGCCCATTCCCACTCCAAGAATGGCCAGGCTGTTCAATTCCATTCCTGTAATTCCTTAACGTCGGAAAGGTATATTGACAGTTTTATTGTGTTAAGAATGAACGTCCCATAAAGCTGACGTCAGCCGATGAAACAAAAACTGCAAAAAAATTTAAGCATTGCCATTTTTTGGGGCGTGTTCATAAACGGAACTCGAAAACACATTGAGAGCTAACATATTGAGTGCATTGCTTTGTCGTCTGCCTTACGTTGTTTGTTAGCCCTCTATATGTTTTCGAGCGTTTATTTCGTGTGAACAAATATACACGCCTTGGAAGAGGAGGGATATTGCGATTCCGCGCCCCGGCCTATAGTTCGAGTTTTCATAAGCACGCAAAACACGTTCTAGGGCTAGTAGCTTGATGACAAATCTCGTGCAATAGCTCACCCTGCTGATTACCGTAGGGGCAGTTCTATCGCCACCCATAGTATTTGCATGATCAGCAGGTTTAAACGAATGGTGATGCATTATAACCGTTTAGGCTTGAATGTTTCACTGCAAAAGTGAAAACATGGCGTATTTTTCTGCCGACCAAATTAGTGTGGGAGAAGACTAAGCAATTTGGCCAGATGTGTGGAGTGGTCGTGAATATGAAGAAAACTAAGATATGCTTAAACCGGAGCAAGACCCCCAAGATCTGCTTGTATCAGTTGAAACAGGGCACCGTTCGGGCACCTTGTGCCTTTGCATTGATTACGCAACACTGGACTGCAGTAGTCACGCTTGTCAAGCGCACCTCGCAAGCATGAATAGGATGAGAACTTGTGTTCGCCTGTGCGCAGGTATGGAATCTCTTCGTTTGTCGCAAACGTCTGTCGGGTACTAAACTGCTCATGGGATAAAATTCAGGCTGTACCAAGAGTATTCGCCACTTTCGTGTGGTTGTATCCTTAGGCCAACGCGCAGGGATAACTTGTTTCTCCCTTCAATGTCTGCCGCACTTGTTTATACACTAACTTCCCCTCGGTTTCTCTTTTACAAATATGCAGATCGTTCATATATACTTTTACATCATGCCTACCCTTGCCTCTGGCTTGGCTCTGGGTAACTGAAAGCGCAGCTAGAGAATGCGTAGTGATCTTCGACTTTAATAATAATTATTCACGTTTAACGTCCCAAAACCACCATATGTGTATGGGTGACGGCGTAGTGGAGGACTCTGGAAATTTCGACCACCTGGGGTTCTTTAACGTGCACCCAAATCTGAGCACACGGGCCTACAACATCACACTCATAGTAACTCACTCATGTTCCTACTCGTTGCTACTCACTCTCACAGCAACTCACTCACCTTCGCAGGCAAGTCTACTCCCACTCATGAGTACTCACCCACGTTCGTACTTACTCCTACTCACATTCATGAGCTCTCACTCACTCCTAATCACACTCATGAATACTCACTCACGTTCATACTAACGAATACTCACACTCATCAGTACTCACTCATGTCCAAACTCACTTCTACTCACACTCATGAGTACTCACACACCTTCATACTCTCTCCTTCTCACACTCAGAGTACTCACTCGCGTTCATACTCACTCCTACTCACACTCTCAAGCTCTCACTCATTCCTACTCACACCGATGAATACTCACTCACGTTCATACTCACGGATACTCACACTGATGAGTACTCACTCGCGCTCAAATTCACATCTACTCACACTCATGAGTACTCACTCCCGTTCATACTCACTCATACTCATACTCAAAGTACTCACTCACGTTCATACTCACTCTTACGCCCACTCACAATACTCACTCACGTTCATACTCAATTCTACTCACGTTCAGAGAACTCACTCACATTCATACTCACTTATACTCACACTCAAAGTACTCACTCACGTTCATACTCACTCTTACGCCCACTCACAGTACTCACTCACGTTCATACTCAATTCTACTCACGCTCAGAGAACTCACTCACATTCATACTCACTTCTACTCACACTGAAAGTACTCATTCACGTCCATACTCACTCTTACTCATACTCATGAGTACTCACTCACGTTCTACTCACTCCTATTCATACTGATCAGTACTCACTCATACTCACACTCACCACGTTCAAATGAGTATGAATGAGTGTAAGTGAGTGTACTCATGAGTGAGTATGCCGAGCTATGTACGCCAGTGACCATGAAATTCAAGTGATTCGTGAAACTGAGGAGTAGAAGTGGCGAAAAATAGCACACAGCTTTTTGTTTAAAAAGTGCAGGAGAAGTGTCATACACTTCTCCAAATGATTGCCAGAACCTCTTTCAGATGCCAGCGATCATACTAGTGTTCCCAATTACGCAGTAGTTACACGCATGAGTAATTGAACGAAATGTGCTCTGTCCCGTGAGTACATGTAGTACAGCAGCCCTTCCAAATCATAATACGCTTTTTCGCAGAACACCGGTGTACTGCAGCGAAGGTAGTTTAGGCAGCGTTCTGCACGGGTTATAACAAGGCCAAAAAATTTTCGAACACCGCCACACAACCCACCCCACTACTTTTACTTCTTATTTTTTACTATGGGGGTTAGGTTTAGGGGACAACATCTCGGCTCGCTTGCAAGGCGCATTCTTCAAGATAAAGTAACAACAATGCACGTCCGTTGGTCCGGCTACAGCACCGGATATCTATCACCAGGGGCAACGCAAATGATGCAACTTCAATATCGAAAAATGTTTTAGTATGTGTCATTGCTATGGAGAGAAACCTGATCGCCAGCAATGCGGGCGTTTGCAGTCCATCGGCTCTGTCCGTGCGTGGAAATTGTAATATGCACTCCCAGTTCTAGTTGATAACAAGCCATAGCTGTTTTTGCTGACTAGGAAGTTCATATTTGCTGCGAAGCATTGGTGGCTACGGCAACACATTTTTGTCTTGAAGTTGTGTCGTCCTGCCGATGGTATCTGCTGCGGTCAGCAGATGAACGGGCGCACAGCTTTGCTATTTTATCCAGTCGATAGCACCTCCCGAGTGCCCTGCCCTAATAGTATTATAGTTGCTGTGAATTTAACGTTAGGGTAGTTTAAGGTTTTTTAAGGTTAGTATGGCTAGGTTACCGTGGTATAAGGTTAAAATCTGTGCACTTGGACTGATTCATCACGCAAACTGCAGGTGGGCAATATGGCCTTTATTTTTTGCTGAAATTAGCACAACAGAAAATTTGGAGGCTGGTCGGGCATTTTGGCACAGCATGGTGCAATTTCAGCAAATTTAATGGTTTTGGCACAGTTCGGCGAAAAAAATGGGAAATTTTATCAAATTGGTGCAATTGGCGCAGGTATTGAACCTCTGTACTTTTATTAGACACAACCATAGAAAGCTCAGAAAATCATAGAAGCGCAGAAAAGCAGGCTGCTGACCCGCAGGTCACGGGATCGAATCCCTGCTGCGGCGGCTGCATTTTCGATGGAGGCGGAAAAGCTGTAGGTTCGTTCGTGTGCTCTGATTTGGGTGCACTTTAAACAACCGCAAATGGTCCAAATTTCCGGAGCCCTCCACTACAGCATCTCTCATAATCATATTGTGGTTTCAGGACATTAAACCCTACATATAAATTAATCATTACTAAGTGGTCTTACTAATGTACAAACATGGCAACTGGGTATACAGTTGAATCCTTTTATAAGAGACACTTGTATGAGAGACACCAGTGTGTCTACAGTGAGATACAGGTTGACAGGAAAATGCATACGAGGTACCCTGTTCATAAGAGACATCTCGTATAAAAGACAAGAACTGCTGCCCGGAGCATGTCTCCTATAAAGGGGTTTAACTGTACTAACATCCTTCAAAAAGCTACTAAATACTATGTTATGCCTATGTGCTTCAGTCATGGGCTTAATAACAGTCTATGTGAGTAAACCACTCAGCTACTAAATACTATGTTATGCCTATGTGCTTCAGTAATGTGCTTAATAACAGTCTATGTGAGTAAACCACTCAGTTTTAACATGCACTGTGCATAAATAATGAGGCAGCGACAGCCTTACCTTGCCACGCTTGGCCTCTTCCCGGACGTCCACGTCGCTGCCCTGATTTTCTGAGCGTGCTTTCTTTGCCGGGCCTCCTTCTCCGGCTTGCTGAAAGACAAAGGGTTCAACCGGTAGATGTAATTTGAATAATAGTACAGTCGACTCTCAATAATTAAAACTCGACGGGACCTCTGAATTTTATTTGAATTATCAAGAAGTCTGAATTATCAGAAGTTCCCAGATATATGACTCTGGGTGAGGCAACACCACACATTATGATTAGGCATTTATTTTATCACATTTAAAAATTTAAGTGTTTTTATGCTCTAACTGCACACAATAAATAGAAAGCAGAATAGTAAGGTCCACAAGCTTATTGGCCATTTACTGCTGATCAGACCTTTTAATTAATTGCCAACTGCTTCTTTGCTATAAGTATGTGCCTTCGGCACAAAGCACTCTCTACCAGTTGAGAAGCATCACAGTTTACCATGCGTGTGCTTTGTTTCAAACACTTGTTTACTAGCTAAGCCTTTTTACTTGAAGGTCCGAGGTGCTTATTTTTCATTTTTAGACATTAAGGATTATATTAGCATGCAAATTTTTAAATAGTGGTGGGAAAGCAGCAGATATTTTCTGGTATGAAACTGCAAAAAGTACGAATTAACTGAATTATGGAGTATGAGTTAAGAGGCTTTTAAATACATTGAAAAATTAGATTGCCAACCAAAAAATTTAACTTCGTTTGAATTATAAAGAGTCTACTGTAATTTAACAAAAGCAGAAGGTGACTTTACCAACAATCAAGTTCTGAAATGTCGAATGCAGAATAAATGATGTAGGCTGTGCTGGTTGTGCCTACCCACATAGTCTGTTTAGCTTGTCGTTCTAGCCTGGCGACTTGGAAAAATTCTGTGGCCACTTGTGCAATTATTTCAAGGCTGGTGGAAACTTACAAATATTTTTTAAAGATGATGTCGGTGTTTCATGCACACTTTCAGCAGTCGGATTTCATTGTGGCCTCAACCTCATGAGACTCTCACTAGAAAATAAAATCAACAAAGCAGCCATCATTCTAAGTATTAGTCATGCTTGACTGGGTGTCACAGTTTCTAGTTTGTTTTTTTTCCGGTTTTCTGTCTCTTCTCTGTCTTTCTTTTTTCACATTCATTTGCCTGAAATTTGCTTCAATCACACTTCAGTAAACAGTTATTACGTAAAATTCAGCAATGTAAAGCTGCAACTGTTTTCCAGCCTAGTGAACAGTGCCCAAATGAACCTCAGAAAGCATTGGCAGTGTGGCTCTGTACTAGAAAAAGGATTCTATTTAGGTGATTTCACCTGTCTGCGAGCCCTGCCACATTTCCCATTGCTGCACATGGCAACGTCAAACACAATGTGCTTATCAGACACCATATTGGCTAACACAACTCGTGAGTCATCCTCAACGGTGTGCTTTTGCCATAGCAATCCCGGTAAATGCTACCAATTCTAGCCCTTGACTGCTTCCTCGAAAACAAACTGTACACACGTCACTCACCGCCCGCTTCCTGGATCCTGCGGTAGTGGCAGTGCACCCATCTGGAAATGCAGCTTCCAAGAAAGCGTCCATCTCCTCCCCGGCCTTAGCTTTCATCTTCTCGTGGTCGGGACCTTGAAGTAGAGCAAGCATCAATGCAGTTCCACAAAAAGGGTTTCAGAAAAGAGGATAATGTCACATGCGGCAACCTATAAAATTCAGGACTTCCAGAAGAAAACTGCTGGCGAGTGTCGAAGCATTTCAAATAATTATAACAATTGTTCCTGCAGAGGCCAGTCGTACCTTTTGTATACAGGAGGCGGATGTGCCATAAAATTCAACTCTCTGTTCCTATACAATTGCTGTGGCTGTCACATGCAAACTGGATCAGAAGGAATGCAAACAGCTACAGCTTTCTCACCAGTAATAAGAGCTCTATTGCTATGCACCACAATGAAAACATGAACAATCCATGATCCAGTGCTTCAGGACCATTTTTAGCATTAGACCAACACGTTTTAAGCAGGTGGCTCAACTTTCATATAATACTCGTGAAGTATAGGCCACATTTCGGGGGAAAAATATGTGGAAGTGTCTACAGCTTCAAACACATGTCACCGCTTTTATGTGCGTCAAATGCAGACTTACTGATATGCTCCTAGCACTGCTGCTACAGTAGAAACCCTTTATAAGAGACACTAATGTAACGACAAATGGGTACAAGAGACAATAGTGTGCTGCCTACAGTAATATAACGATTGGCAAGAAAATGCATGCGTGGTACCTTCCTTATGAGAGACATCTGATACAAAGGACAAGAATTGCTCGCCTGTGCACGTCCTGAATGAAGGGGTTCAACGGCAGAGGTGTATGTGCCGGCTAAACATGGTGGCTCCACACTTAGTAAAAACTTTCTCGTCTCACCACCTACCCCGCCGCGGTGGTCTAGTGGCTAAGGTACTCAGCTGCTGACCCGCAGGTCACGGGATCGAATCCCAGCTGCGGCGGCTGCATTTCCAATGGAGGCGGAAATGTTGTAGGCCCGTGTGCTCAGATTTGGGTGCACGTTAAAGAACCCCAGGAGGTCGAAATTTGCGGAGCCCTCCACTATGGCGTCTCTCATAATCGTATGGTGGTTTTGGGACGTTAAACCCCACATATAAATCAATCGTCTCGCCACCTTTTGCCTGTTGCAATCATTTCTTAAAACAGCATTATCTGTGGTAGAACGGAAATGTCCTTGCTTATTGTATTTGCAATAACATGGCATATAGGATGCACAGCATCTGAAAACTCAGATGGCTAAAAATAACATGGAGTAGCCCGCCATGGCCTACCACATATTCAGATGGCAGTTCTGACACACATGAAACTGCACACTTTCATTTTACAAGAAGTCACATCAGACATTGGTTGTAACCAGTGCAGATGCATATCTTTTGTGATGTTCTGCCAACATCCTGCGAATCTTACTGCTGACCTGTCTACTGACAGTGCATAGCAATAAATGCTACTACCTGATTTGGGCAGTGCAGAGTTCAGTGCTGGGATAGAGCCCCTCACAGAATACTGCTAACTGTGGAATCATTACAGCTGTGAGACTCGCGTGTCACAGTGGCAGGACTCACGTGTATAGTCCTTCGGATGTTCCGCATCGTCTCGATCCAGAGCCAGGGCCTCCAAACAGCTCCAAAACCCTTGTAGCTCTAGTAGATACAAGCAAACACACGGGCAACAAATGTGCGAAAAATATTAGTGAGAACTAACAGGCAATATTGCCAAGGAAAGCGTTCAGATCTGTTGACACAACATGTGACAACAAGCCTTCAGATACGCAAATTTAATAGCCTCAGCCTTCACAAGGGAGAACACGGCACTTCAAAAATAGTTCACTAAATTCTTGATCGATATTGATAAAACTTGGTGAATTCGTGTACAATTGTTAGACAATTTAAATATGCTCCTATTTCTGTAGGGTAATGTTTAGTTTACAAATTGCGCAATATTTTATGCGCCTTATGGTAAGCAAATTTTTTTTTTAAACTGAGAGAGTTTTCAAAATGAATCAGCATGTCATAATAATTTGAAATCAGAACAGTCTGCAGTGCAACAAAAATGAATGTTCTATAACCCATTGGTTATAGAATGTTGGACACTTACCAGTGTTGAAACTGACTCACTCACAAATGTTCAACATACCATAACTTGTGTTCAAATGTATTTACAGCATCCATATTTGTTGCACTACACACAGCTCTGATACCAGATTACTGCAGCATGTCGATTCACTTTGTACATAGCTTGCTATATTTGCTCCACAAAATAAACATGAAATATTACACATTTTATAAACTAGTACTTCGTATTATACTATAAAAATAGTAGCACATTTGAAACTAGCACACAAGTATACATGAACTCACTAAGTTTTATCAAAACCTTTATGAAAACCTACAATTAGCAAAATTTTTTGAGAGCAGTGTGCCTCTTTAAATAAAAGGGCACAAACAAAGCATATTATGCGATACCTGGATTCTCAAAGTTGTCCGGATGATAAGTGAATCGTAGCTTCTCCACCATCTCCCGTGCCAGGGCAATTAATCCAGGGGTGGCCTTCTTTGTGCCCTCCTGGAGGGATTGTAGCCGACGGCGGTCGTCGCTAAAGGGCAGTTGTACCACGTGGAATCCTGGTGGTACCATCTGGAGACCGTGTGGGTCACGTTCCTCCTCCTGGGTACAAATGTGAGAACGGTCGAGCGACAGTACTGATGACCAGCGCATTGTGCTAGAGTGACACATAGTGAAACTTGTTGCCTAAACTTATTTCCTCAAAGCGGCCATTATATATACTAGCAAATAACACCGAACTTGAAGAGCAATCTTCCAATTCGTGGTTTTCCTTACCTGAATAAAGGGCAATTATTAAATCACTATACATCACTACATATCAATTTCCACTGTATATCCTCGTTAGTTTTACTGGATCCTTGAATACTTTTCTTCATGTCTTTAAATTCTCACTGAAGTTCCATACAGAAAAACAAAAGAGGCGCCACTGTGAGTACAAGCTGACTGACCTGCCTTCTTAAGATGGATTCATGTTGGTATTTTTCACAAAAAAAATTCTGCCTGCAATTTTTGCGGTGTTCGCTAAATGAACATAGCAGTAATGAGTGTTAGCCAAACAATGTAGAAGGGCAATGAAAAGAAAGGTAAATATTAAAGGCTTTCAAAATCCACAGGGCAAGTTATGTATGTGTCAGCACTCTATCACATTGTAGAAAAAATAATTGTACTAACTGTGCCAGCAAAAGCAATGCATGTGCGGGTGGCAAAGATAGGAAGTGGTGAAATTCCTTTAGAAAAACATAGTCTGCGACGTGGTGAAATACTATATATTCAGTCCATGTCAATTAAAAATCAGTTGAAACCTAGCCGTTGTCCTGTATCTTTCTATGGTGTCCTTGTGCGTGTTCACCAGCGATAAGGAGCATTCAATGTAGCACGCTAGTTGCCTGCTATTTGACGCAGTCAATCGCTGCAGTGGTTCGACTAAAGCTACTCGTCAAGTGAAGTGATTTCGCTTTTTATCATGTCCATATTCATGTTTCTTGTCTTGATACCGGTGTAGTTTTTAAAGTCGTGCTTAAGATGTACGGTGCACTATGAATAGGTCTGGCCGACCCTCAAATCCAAGTGCGGTGGCAGCCCGCAAGACTCAATTTCCTCTCAATTGCCCACCTATATCAGGGCATCACAAAGCTGCCGATGAGTATTTCAAGCCCAGAACAAGGAAGTCCGAAAATTAAGCCATCTTGGCACTAATTGCAAAAGCAGCCATCTCTAGGCAGTATTTACGGTTTCAAATTCAAAAGTTTTTGCATTTACAAATTTTATAACATAGATTGGTTGGTACCTGTGCGACTCTCTTTTTTTTTAGATGCGAAGCTCTTTATTGCCCCGTACTTCCTCAGGTTTTGTCATCGCCCTGTTACACTGCACGTAATTCACAGCGCAAACCACGCCTGCAGTGTTCGAGAAGCTTCGGGAGTATAGAAGACCATTCCGTTAAGATTGCGTTAACATTCCGCACACTTCGCGAATATCACAGAATATTCTGGAACCTACGCGGCCGCTACCAATAACGCTAGAATATTCGGCGGCACATGTGTATAAATGGCGACGGGCCTCACCACTTGTCAGTTTATCGACGGCCGATGATCTGCCTGCCGCTAACAGTGCCAGTGTCTTACTGTAATCTGACTTTCCTTTTACGCGGCCACTAGTACGACCCAAATAAACAGTTTATTATTCGACCTGCAGTCTGCTCCCTTCGTCCACATCACGAGCCCGTGACATGGTCGAGCTCAATCCGGTGTGGGGCGTGATTATTTTAACTGCACATGCATGTCTCTACCCTCTCTATCAGGCACTGTGCCATGCTCCCGACCAGGTTGCAGAAATTAGGTGCCTTTTATCATCTTCTAACCACTACCACCACCACCACACCCTTTCTCTCTCCTACGCACGCTCCCCCTCTTTCTCTTTTCGGCATCCCTCCCCACGGCGTTCACACCCCCCTTGCGCATGTACGTCCCGCCCCCTCTCTCCTCACCAACGCTCTTTTCTCTCTTTCGCCTCCCAATGCCGACGCAGGCAGCATCTGCCATCGACTGGAACAATCTTCCCTCGAACGTCATCCTTCACATCAACCATGTTCATTCAAGAATTCCGTTGAGTCACACTTTGTAAATATTAACTAACCTGTTTGTTCCTCCCACTCCTCATGTGAAACCCTGTGTACAGGGTCCCTGAAGTATTTTCAATAAATATGTAAATAAATGAATAAATAAATACCACCTATGGTGTCCCACTTTGGATGTCATAGACCTTCGTTATCACCACAATGGTGTCCTAGGTCGCATGTAAAAGGTATTCGAATGGATTCTTTGTCTTGGCAGTCCCACTTTATCAGAATGATATGCCAAATGATGCAAGCAATGACCGGGGTAATTTTAGGACAAGAACATTAGCAGGGGAACATGTGGCACAGTGTTTTATATCCAAAAAGTGGCAGTGAATGCTTTAGTTGCCCATGTAGCCCAGCACTATATTTTTTCCTTGGATTTGGTGTTTAATCACGAGCAACTTCTTTCTTTTTGTTGAAGGGCGAAAAGCTAAACAAAAAAAAGAGAAGCGTAGGCACACAGAAACGAATGATTATTTGCTACCTCCCATCCAGAATGCTAAACTGTCAATCCACAGGAAATCTATCCTTAATGAACTTTTTGCGTGGCAGTGGCCTACTCAATAGGCTATGGCACTTCCGCTCAACACTTTTCTTTTGTTTAGTTGTTTGTTTTCAGGTGCCTCGTCTCTCTTCATCTTTTTTTTTCCTTCTGCACTCACCCTAGTGTAGGGTAGCAAACCAGATGTTACGACCGTAGTTGACCTCACTACCTTTCCCTCACATTTTTCCCTCCCCTATACCGCTTTTCTCAAAGATTCGGTTGAGGCTGAGAGTAATATGAAAAAAGTAGAACGATCACTCATTTAAATAAGACATTTTGGCAAGGCTACCGCACCTGCGCCAGGAGGTAGACTAGCTTGGGAGCCTGGGCTGCACGCGAGATCCAGAAGCAGACAGGGGCCACACGATGTCGCAGGCAGCTCTGCAGCAAGGCAGCAAAGAGGCGTGTGCTTCCTCGCACGGAACCCTCGTCCGGGTACACGAAGTTACTCGGTCGCACGTGCGGCTGCTTCTCCAGATAGCTGAGCGGCTTGAAACCGAGCAGCAGCAGGCCTGCGGTATTATTTTTTTTAACCAAAATGTAAGCCAGCACAGGAAAATACACTCGTACCTCATTATAAACAATATTGCTGTTAGCATGAAAATAAGTTCGTCATAGCCAAAAATTCATTATAAAGGTGAAGAACACTAGCCAGGAGCACACTGTAAGGCCGTGTTTTATGCATCGAAAGTGGGGAAAAAAAATGTACATGTCCTAACACTATAATCATTGCAAGACCACTCTCCATTTGTTTGTTAATAACAGATATTTCCTTATATCGAAGCTTGAGTGTAGAAACGCATAATGGGACTAATGGAACTCTTTGATTTAATCGCATTTTTGGCAGGCTAGAGAATTCTTTACAAATGTATACTAAAAAGTTGCGCTTGTAATACGCCTCGCAGTTTTGATTCACAGACTGAGTCAATAAATCTGGGTTTTCTCCTGCACCTATTTCCAGTTTCATTTAAAAACAACCTTGCTATGAGCATACTCTTGTTGGATTTCTCAGATGAAAAGTTAAATTTTGTGAAGCTTTATGCAGCTTCAGAATAAAAAAAAAACTTCAGCCAGTTCCACGGTGTGCTACATATCCGACAGCAAAGCGGTAAGTGCGAGAGTATTATCACCATTTACCATCTTCATCATTTTTGTTTTACTTATCCCTTCATTTTCTTCCTCCTCTGGTCATGTGCCCTGTGTGATGTTTAATACCATATTTACTCGCGTAGTAGGCACACTTCTTTGGAAGAAAATCCACCGCCAAGTTCGGGGTGCGCCTACTAGGTGGGATAAAATTTTCAAAAATTGTAATTCCAACTACAGCATAGACCGCTGATAACGTAAGCCACTTAAGTCCTGAATATCAGCCCTACAGCCGAAACAACCTTCTTTAGAGGCCACACTTGTGCGAAATGTGTTGAGCATGCGGTCTTGCATGCACGAGAATCAATGCATGCGAAACGGTGTGCTTAGAAGCATGCACATTTCCAAAAATTGATACCGAAAATCCCACGCCGCCAACAAAATGAACGCAAAAAGAAAATATTTTGAAAAGAAAGTGCCATCGTGAAAATTCACTGATTACGTTTCAGGCCACCTAGATTATGCGCATTACCACGACTAAAATTTTGTGCGCTGAACAGTGCCATTTGCTCATTTCACAGGTACGCAACCCACATCCAAAGACAATGCAATCGAATCACGAACCACCATTGGAATGTCACAAGTGCCACCCATGCCCCCTTTCTTCAAGTAGAGCCACTGCAAAGGGTTGTGTTGATTCTGCACAAAAAACGCATCTTAGATCGTCCGCGAGCGCCATCGAAAAGCAACCAACACTGGTTCGGCCTAAGTTAAAGCTCAGCATGTCGCGGGAAGTTTGCACAATACAACATGAAGATTAGGCGTCGAAAAGATCGCACTCAAGCACACAAGAGTAGCACGTATGATACAATGTTTAGGTTTTCGGCCAAAAAATCAACGACAAAAGTATGCCATGGTTGTGCAAGTCTGCATAGTAGCAACAAAGGCGAAACTCGCGTCAGAAAGCCAAATAGCTTTTAAGTTTGCAGACAAGGGAGCAAGCACGATAACGACGACACTTTTCCCAAAGGTAAACTCAAAGTGCACTTGATGAGGATGCGATCACATGTTCCATACAAAGCGCGTGTGGCCGGAGCCACGCCAGCCCCGATGCAAGGGTTACTTCGACGCCCAGGCAACCACCCTTCTTCCTCACTCAGCGAGCCTGCGTAGGGCTGCTGTGGTCTTCTTTTCTTTTCTTTTTAAGTAAGAGGGCGTCCTATTGCTACTGTGCAAATACAGTACAGAACTGTTGCTGATCATGGCCAAGTTTGGGGTGCGCCTATATATGCATGAAAATAAACAAAATCTGGTTTCTCGCGACCAAACTGAGGGGTGCACCTATTATGCGAACATGCCTATTATGTGAGTAAATACGGTATTACTAATACTACTACTACAATGACGACTATGCCACAGCTTAACTGTAAAAAAAAAATTTTGTTCCTGTTTGGGTCTTGCTGCAGTTCTAAATCCTCCGCTTAATGCAGCACCACCACAGTTAAACCTGGGAAAGTGTACAACATAAGCAACGCCGCCATAACTCAGCAATCGCACATTTGTCGAGGCGGCGGTGCCTTTCTTTGCAGGCGCGGGACTCGGGCTGATGTTTCAGAAGTGTTTTTCACGATTTCAGGTAAACTATTGCAATTATTTCTCGATTTTTTTCTGTAGCTTATAATATTTTAGACCTTGCTAAGTTTATTTTGTACTGGTTTTTAGCACTGTTAGCCTCGTCTTATGCCTATATTGACCACAGCGTGACCATGCGATACGATTCGGTGGATGGACAACAAGGAGGGCTCACGAAGTGCTACGCACTTGAAAAAAGGGTCACGACAGCGTTCGTAGTACAGCAAGTTTCAAATACAGCGCAAAGTTGATAATTTTTTAAACGAGTCTCTCACCTGGAGGTGCCATTGCTTTGATCTGCTTCACTTCACAAATGTCGAAATGTGCCTTTCTGCCACCATACTCCTGAGTCTTTGATATATCACCCGGCATCAGTGCCTCCGCAGAGTCCTAAGAAGAGGAAGAAGAGAGTGGGAATATCGCTTGTTAAGCAGAGGGACTAACTGAAATCTCATTATAAAAAAGCTGCATCTTAGAAGAAAACAAGGTCGTTATATTCAAAAATTCGTTATAAAGGTTACTCCTAACCCTATTTATTGCAAGACTACTGTTCACTTACTTGGTTATAACAGATATGCGTGTGCGTTGTGTTAAGGTTTAAGTGTATAGAGAGTAGGTCAGCTGAGAAGCAAAGGCCGTGTAGTCAAGAATTCGCCATACCATTGCATAGGTGATCCGACGGGAGAGCAGTTCCTCGTTGGTGTCCCTGGCGAGGCGCGTGGGGGCGGGCTTTCCTGTGGGTCGCACCAGGTTGTAGAGGGAGACTGACATCTTCACTTCGGGTCCCAGCCAAAAGGACAGAGACATGAGGCGCCGCTTCTTGTGGTCCTTCATTCGTACCCTGACAACAACGGCACGGTCATGGTGCAGTTCACAAATAACTTCTAGATGGTTACAACCTGAAGAAAATAAATGTGAGCACCAGCCCATTGTGCCATGCAGTGCCCAGAACAGTCGTAACTGGTCTCCGCTAGACCCGTGAGTGCTTTTTTGTGGCTAATGTAAAATATTACGTTTGGCTGAGCAAGCAATGTCAAAATTCTTGATGAACTTTAGAAGGACAGACAAGTCTCCAGCCTTAAAGCAGCATCACAAACATGTGTCCTGTATGGCAAAAAGAATCGGGCGAAACGCTGCAAGAGGTTGGAATCAAGAAAATGAGTAAGCGCAACTGGATAGAGCGTTCACGCAAGTTCTCTCTGCGAGGGACAGCAACGGCTCTGGGCAGAGTCTGCCATTTTTCAGTTATATCGCAACAGACTATAAATGCAGCAGCCTACCAGAGACTATTGCAAGGCTGTGGAAGTGCATAACAATGTTCCTTTCAGCCCATCTCCCACTACCATTGTTGCCGCTCTTATGCCAGCGCACTTTTTTCTTATGTTGCTGAATGATATTCTCTGCCACAACACTTACCGTAAAATTCAAGCAGGTGCCCCGAGGTTCGACAATGATGAAAGCCGAAGAAAAATTCATTGCGGGTAGCAAATGTCCTCACCTCAGTAAAAGTTCTTCCATTTTTTCGGAAGCCTCGGGGAAGCCATCCTCATAGTTCTCTTTGTCAGTCACCAGGTTCTTGTTTGCCAAAAATGAGATGTAAGCAAAAGTAATGAGCAGGTTCATGGAAGAACTAACCAACTCTTGCAAAAAAAGATGGGCTTTTTTGGGGGAGGGGGAAGGAACACTGTAACACTAAACATGTGTGGTGCAAATTGTAAATTCTAGGCTCGAAGCGAATTTCAAGCCATAATGATTCGGTCGAATCATTTCAAATTAAGTTCAAATCATATTTATCTTATATTAATCACATATAAAGAAAAATTAGAATTACTTGTTATGCCCAAATGATCTGCACAATACTTTTCTTTGAATTGAAACAAGGCATGTGCAAATGTGATTCGTTCATGCTTGAAATGCAGTGAAAGCAACATTGAAAAGTAGCAGGATTTCATTTTCGGTAGAGTGCTAGCCATAACCTGTGAAATATGTTACATTTTAAAGTTTAATATACTTTGAGCATATGAGCTACTACAAAAAGCTTTTAATTTAAAAGCAGGATGAATCAATGTGAGAGTAATATGTTCCTAACATATTACCCTCACCGGGTAACACTGAAGTGGGGCTTTGCAGCAGCACCAATTTCCCCTGGATAGGCCTATTCACGGTACAGCATCCCTCTACTGCAGTGAAACCACCTTTACCGAAAATTGCGTTCAGTTTATATACATTCGTTTGCTTCGAATATTTTGAAATTAGGAATGGGTAATTTAAGTTCGTGTCAAAGCGAATTCAAACAATGTAATACTTGTTCGAATATCTGTAGAGCTTAAATATTTGCATATGCCTAATTAACGCATAAAAATGGCATAACTGATTAAGTCATTCTTTGTTTTGGACATTGTTTTTATAAACATGCTAATTGCCTATATCAAGCCCTTGTTAAATTTCTGATATGACAAAAAAGATAAATCTGTGCACTGTATTTATAACTTTACCCATAAACACCACAGCAACTTTGATATCGCCACTTTTATAAATTTAAGTCACTTCTTTTCGGAGCGAGACAAATACTGGGGTGGCCAACAATCACACTAGACTAGGGGTAGTAAGCACTGTCGCCAATCAGGCATCATTCAGGTGAGGGAGAGGGATTCTGCAGCACGTGGAGGAGGTGGTGAGCAAGAACATTGAAAGGCCTATTGAGGCTGCTGCCAAGAACCTTAAAGTGGGAGAAGTGATGGGCAAGTTTTCCCAAGCAAGGCGTCATGACATGCTGCAATACGTATTGAACTTCTGTGCTTTCACAGGACTTGCAGCATCCACAGGAAATTTCACAGGACCTTCAATATAGCATCTCCAATACCAATCATAAAAGTACTCACATGTGTGCTCACATAAAAGTGCTCATATGTCAGCCGCACCACTGAGAAGGAAACCAGCGAATACCTACACCACTTTAAAAGACTCGTGACACCAAATTCGTAAACTCAAGATGTTTGTATTGTTTGATAGTCCTGCACGAGAAGCCACTTTTGAAGAGATTATTGGTGACGAGCATTCTCTATAGGACATTTTAATTTGGTCTTAAAGTAAAGGTGCATGCTCCTCTGAGTATTCAGGTCCAATTTACATATTCTGTGGTTTGACTAAAACAGAGGGCCCCCCTCGTGACGTTGCAGGAGCCAAGCAAGTATTGTCAGCGTCAGAGAACATTTGCGGGGCGCCCACAATACCACGACTGGCACCCTGCGAGGACTATTGCTCGTCAGCCCTCTTGCCCTGTTCTTAGCTGCCCTTGAGGTGGTTTTGGCTGCTTACGCCAGGAATGTTTTTCTTTTTTTCTGAGGGGGCCACGCTCAGAGCACCCACATCGTTTTATTCTCTACCGTCCACGCGATCCCTTATTTGAAAACAGCACGCTCAGTGTCACCAAAGCTTTAGCGCACATAGTCTGAGGCACCATGCCGCTATGGGGCACTAGTTCCTTATGGTATTTAGACGGGCATTTTTAACTGAAGCAAAATTGTTCTGAATTAATGGCACTAGCATTACTTGTACGATGCGTTTAGAGCATTTACAATTAAAAGTCAGCATTGCCAGACAGAAAGCTACAAATTACTGCAAAAAAAGTTAGAAACAAAAGTTTAACTGTCAGGGGTCCTTTATGTACTTGCTGAAGTGTGCTACAGTTGAACCACTGCGACACATAAGCACAAACAATTTACTGCCGTCACTGTTCAAGTTGGGTTCAGCCCGATATTAATGGGTGTTAAATGCAAAAACACACTCATACCTAGCAGAGCTGTTAAAGGATCCCAGGTACTTAAAATTATTCTAGTGCCCACCACCATGGCATGCCTCATGACGACGTGGTGGCTTTGACACGTAAAACCCCAAGAGTTATTATTAACATCATTATTACTTATAGCCATAGCCCGCCAGTATGAGTTGACTCACTCGATTCCTACAAACCTGTGAGTCTGAGATCGAGCGAGTCTGGCTAAGAAAAAATTTGGAGGGAGCCCAGCTGAGTTTTAATTTTGATAAATCTGAGATGTAGCAAATCTAGCCGAGTATAATTCTCGTGAGCTTAAGTCTGGCTGAGCTGGCTTTAGCGGGATTTCGACAAGTCTGAGTGAACCTTATTGAATAAAATTCTATGAATATGAGTCAGAGTATGAGCCTAACTGAGCCTTTAGCATTGCCTAGCACCAGCAAAAGTAATGCCGAAAATGATCAGTTGCATACCATTCATGGACATTTTTCTTGATGCAGAAGTGCCGTCGGTAGTGCAGAACAAACGTTCAGGTATCTTGGTTAGCATTTGAATCCCCTAGCAGTAGGTGCTGTGCCACCCCAGTGAGGTGTAATGAGTCGACGACCAGACATTAATACCTTGGAGCTTTGCTGATTTTAACTACATTTTATATGTGCAAAGGATGTTTAGCGCGTAAGAAAGCAAGGTCTAAAGCCAGATCAGTTACAATTCGGCGGCAGGCATAATGACCATGTGCCAGAACACTCACTGGTAACTCCATCTACTCACAGTCATTCTAAAGGTGTGTGTGGGTGACCATGGGACTGAGGCGACGGGTGTTCCTTGATGAGCGTGATCAGCAACTAACTCATGTCTACCAACTCAGCTGCTCGTCGTCAGACGTTCGTTCAAATATCTTTTCTTGAGCGTAGAATGATAAGCCCTTCTTTGACATTACTCAACCTTACTCTGATTTAGGCGTATCAGTAAGTCCGAGTCCAAGTGAGCTCAGCCGAGCTGAATATTGGTGACCTCTACTCGGAGTGAGGGTGAGAGGCCGAAATTTTCTTGAGTCCACTATGAGTGAGCCCAGTCCATAAGATGGATCTCTTTAGCAAGTCTAAGTATTTTGTAAAACTTTTTGCTCACTTAAGCTCATAGAAAACGCTTCTTGCAGTGGTTTTTGAGCTTCTTAACTTTCAAACATCATCATTAGCCTGATACGCCCACTGCAGGACAAAGACCTCTCCGATGTTCCGCCAGAAAACTCCAATCTGTGCTTGCTGCTACCACTTTACACCCGAAAACTTCCTAATCTTATCTGCCCACCTAACTTTCTGTCTCTCCCTCACCTGCTGGCCTACTCTGGGAATCCAGTCAGTTGCCCTTAATGACCAGCGGTTATGCTGCCTACGCGCTACGAGTGCCGCCCATGTCTATTTCTTCTTTTTATTTGAACTATTGATATCCTTACACCTGATTTGTTTCCTGTGTACCGAGGGCAGTGGGCATGGAGTGTGAGGCCCCTGCAGTGTCATGAGAAGGGAAGCTGCGACGACGGCAGTGACGAGCTACGTGGCCTGGGATGCCACATGAAAAACATATCGGCCGATTATCCGGAGTGCGCCATTGGCTGACGGTAGGGGTACTGTTCGCTGAATAAGGTACCGTAAATGGTCATGGAGGTGGCGGCGTCATATAAACATTCTGAGCTGTTTCGTATACAGCCGGAGACGAGACGGTCAGCGAGCGGGCAGGTGGCGTCGGCGAATAAACGTGGCGAGTAGCTTCGTAGATGGCCGGAGACGTTGGCGCACGTGGCCGAGCAACTGCGGCTGCATACGTTAGTGGTGCGGTAACAGTTGGTGGAGCCTGAGCTGGCGGCAATGCTTCGGCAACTTGCGATTGAATGACCTGGCGAAGCGAAGGCGACAAGGGTGCCATCGGCTCGGTAGTTCTTGTGATTATAGATAGCTGCCGGGCGACCTCCTCGCGTATGAATTGCTTTACGAGTGGCATCAACGCAGAGTGGTCGGCGGTGTCATGGTGATAGTCGAGGGATGAGATGTCCGCGGTGTCTTGAGCAGCGCAACATGTAGAAGCGCGCTGCCTACGCAGCTCATCATAGCTTTGGCAAAGCTGAATCACCTCGGCGACAGTCTGGGGACTCTTCGCAGCAAGAATTTGGAATGCACCGTCGTCGATTCCTTTCATGATGTTCTTGATCTTGCCTGCCTCGTCCAGAGTCGAATCGACGAGCTTTCAGAGAAAGAGCACATCTTCGATGTAGCTCGTGAAAGTTTGATCTGCTTTCTGTACTCTGCCCCACAAGCGCTGTTCAGCACGGAGGCGGCGGACAGCAAGACGACCAAAGACTTTCGAGAGGGTTTTTGCCAATTCCAACCAGGTACTGAAATCACTTTGATGATTCCTGTACCATAGTTTTGCCACGTCGGTCAGGTAAAAACTCACATTTGTGAGCTTATCGGCTGCGTTCCACTTATTGCATGAGCGCACCAGTTCATACTCGGCAATCCAGTTGTCCACATTGGTCCTCTGTGCCACCAAATATGGGGGGGTCGCGCTGCCGGAGAGCGCCAGCGCAGAAGACAGGCACAGGTGCGAGATCTGGAGTAGCGGCCTGAGACGGCCACGGGTCAGTCATTGTAGAAGGTCGTTGGAGTATGCGGGTGCGAAGTTCCAGGGTGAGGACCAGATGTATCCCAGCACTTCCACCACTTGAAACGGGTTGTTTAACAAGCAGGAGTTGACTCAGCGAACGAGAGCTTTATTTAGCGCAAGGGTTAACTGAACGCAAGCCTGCGATCACAGCAAGTCTTCTCCTTTTTCTACTCGAGCTCCATGCCCACTGCCCTCGTTACACCTGATCCACTCTGCTCTCTTCTTGCCTCTTAAGGTTACACCTATCATTTTCTCTTCTATTGCTCGCTGCATCATCTTCAACTTGTAATCCTCCAGGTTTCTGCTCCATAGATAAGTAGTAGCAATCTACCAGTCATAATTTAAGAATTTTTACCGAATGTGCTCCACCCAATTCTTCTAGTTACTTCAATCTCGTGCTTCGGCTTCGTGCTTACTACCAGTCCTAAATAGATGTACTCTATTACAACTTCAAGTTCACTGCTACCTGTCTCAAAGCACTGTTCTCTTCCGAGGTTGTTATATATTACTTTAGTTTTCTGCAGATTAATTTTAAGATCTTTTATCTATTAACGCGTGAAATGCCCTACCGCACATCATTGCAAATATTAAACAATTAACTGGTTTCCAGTCAGCCCTACTATCTTACTTAAGTTAGCAGTTCTGCCACACTAGCTGAATTGTCCGATTCCAAGTTGGCATTTATTCTATGTATATTTTTTGCTAGATTGTTCTCTGGCATTTTTCATTGATCGCTTATTTTACTCTACTGAACCTTGTGTTACTGAACTGTGTTTTCCTTTTTTTTTACATTATGTCTGTATTATGTTTGCTTGTTATTGTTTTTTTTTTTTCGTTTTTCATGCTTGTTTCTTCTTTTATCTGGTTTTCTTCATTCATTGTGCTCTGTATTGTATACCCCCTTATGTAATGCCCGCTCTTGGGCCCTTAGAATCAAATAAATGAAATGAATGAAATAATCTACCTTTGTGCTCTCCTTGTCTGGTTCAGTAATCATGAATTGTAACTCGCCCCCTGAGTTACTCAGCAACGCAATGTCATCGGCGAAACGCAGGTTACTATGGTGCTCTCCATTAACTCATATTTCTAACTCTTCCCATTCTAGGCCTCTGAAAACCTAGTGTAAGCATGCGGTAAATAGCTTTGGGGAGATCATATCCCCTTGCTTAAAAACCTTCTTTACTCTCAAACATAGCAAGCAGCTAAGTAGCTAGTACTAGTTGAACTATGGTGGCACACATACCACTATAGTATCTTCCCATCTAACTGCTTCAAAGGCAAACCTTGTAAAGGATCTGTGGCCGGAACTTTTTGTCTCCAGGTGGCTTCAGGTGAACCAAATCAAGTTCAATGCCAGATTGTAAAAGATCCTTAGCCTTGACCACCGCCTTGTCATCGAGATCGCCTGAGCCCTTGTGAGGATCATCCTGATTGGTCAGCACCAGCACTCTCCGCTGCCCTGCACGACTGGAAAGAGTTTCCACTTATTTTAACTTCAGCTATCAAAAAGACAACACAGCAATTGCCAGTCTACTAAAGTGCACAGGCTTCTAAGCAAACACAAGCATTCCTTTCGTAATGAGCGGAAAAGCCATACCTTAAATGGCAATGCCTTTAAATGGCTCGATGCCCAATGGCAGTCTATTCTAGAGCACTGCACATGTTGATTTTTTGTAGGCCCGGGCTTGACCCGAACAGAAAGGGACATCCTCCGGCCTGCCCGAGCCTAGCCCTGTGCTCTTTATTATACCCCGTACCCAGCCCGGGCCCGAAAGATTTGGGCCTGGCCTGGCCCAGGCCATTTCAACCAATTATGGTTTGAGCATAAATGAGGTGCTTTCCAATTCTTGGTTATTGTGAAGATACCAGCCTCACAAAAATATATTCTTAGGAGTGCTGTAAGAACTTCTTATTTGAAGTGGTCTGCAATAAGCGCGCGAAAAAGGACGAAGAGGAATGAGGGGGGACTGAAGGAAGAAGAAGTTGGAATAAAATGGCAGATGACACCCGTCTATCGTAGATTATCTGTTTTTAATGTGTTAGTTGCTAGTCGAAACGCTACATTATTGTGTCATGATTTTCACTGGCATTGCATATCATCTTCGGCTAAATTTGCCTGTAAAATATTTGCAAAATATTTGCAGTGCAATAGAAGTGTAGGCTAACAACGTGACCTTAATATTGCATTTCAAATAACAACTTGAAGATACAATGACCACACAAAATGAAGAAATAGCAAACATTTATAGCTGGACTGAGTTTATATAGATTGCTGAGGAGCTTGGGCTGTTGAGTAAAAACAGCAGAACGCCTTCCGCAAACTTTTTCTGATGCACAAGGGTGCAACAGCCAAAATAGAATATGGAGCAATTTTTAAAGCAACAACATATTACTTTTGGAGCAGTAAAGCCCAAATTTGGAGCGAAAACGGGAAAAAGAAGCATCCATTTTTCATCATGAAAGACGGAATTTGAAGCAGTATAAAAAAGGCAACTTAAATTTAGAAAGCAAAGAAGATAGGCACAAACCATTCAACCTCGCCTAAATCGTGCAGAGTGAACATGAGCACTACTACATATTTCAATGAAAGTAGTATTTTGAACCACCTCCCCTGTGTAAACGATGAAGTCCACATTAGCATTTGCCGCGCCTGTCAAATCCTTTGACAGACTTTGTGAATTCAAAAGTGGCTCTGCCAAGCTGGCGACCTTGAAATTCAGGAGACCCATAAAATCAAGGGGTAGTAGTGGCGAAAATATATATATATATATATATATATATATATATATATATATATATATATATATATATATATATATATATATATATATATATATATATATATATATATATATATATTGGCGCATACTTTTCTTTTTTTTTCTGGGAAATAAAAATATTATTCACTGCTCTAAAGTATTGCTAGTAACTTTTTTTAAGACGTCAGCATTTAAATTATGCGGCGCTACATACATGAGCAATCGAACAAACATGCTGTGTCCCAGGACTAGCGCTAACAGCCCCTTTCAAATCAGAATGCGCTTTCCCGCAAGGCACTTCTGTACTGCGGCAAAGGTAGCCTAAGTTGCGTGCTGTGCGGGTTAGAACAGCACTCTAAAAAAACGATCGAGTAAGAAGTGTTTCTTTTTGTACCATAACAATAAACTCAGTGCTTACCACTTTCATATCGAGAAACCTATGTGTCACGCTGATAGCGCGTATGTAGTTCGTGACCTAAATGTGCCGGGCGCGCGGCCATAGTGCAAAGAAAAGAACGCTAGATAGATGGCGATTATTATTGTGGGACAAAAAGATGCTCTTTTTACTTGATCTTTTCTTTGACTGAAAGCTAAAAATATTTCGAACTGCAACCCCTCTCCCCCCATCACTTCTTTTTTTTTTTTCACAGTGCGATTAGGTTTAGGGCCCAACTCGGCCCACTTGCAAGCAGAGTATGAATAGATAAAGGAGCAACAGCACGCACCCGTTGGTCCAACAAAAGCACCGGATATCTATCACCGGGATATCGCAACGACATTGCAAGATAGATATGTGCCATTGTTATTCCTGGCAACGCCGGCGTCCACAGCGTGTCAAGCTTGTTTGCATGCGGAAAATGCAGCATAAGCTTCAAGCTTTAGTTTCTAACATGCCATAACCACTTTTGCTGACAAGGATATTGAGATCTCCTGCGAAGCGCTGGTGGCTACCGAAACACATTTTCTTTTTAAAGTTCGATCATCCTGCCGATAGGTATCTACTACAGCCAGTGGACAGATGGGCGCGTGCCACTGTTTTACTTTAGCCGGTTGATCACGTCAAGCAAGTGTCCTCCAATAACTAGTATATACCTTACACTGTGGTTTAGGCCTAGGGTCTGCCCACTTGGATTAATTGCTGATGCAAACTGCAGCTGACCAATGTGGCCTTTCTTTCTGGCTGAAATTAGTGCACCTAAAAAAGCTTTGACGCTGATGGGGCACTTTGGCGCAGCGCCCTGCTGTTTCAACAAATTCCGTGATTTTGGCGCAGCTCGGTGCAATAATAGAGAATTGTATCAAATTGGCGCAGCTGTTCCACCCCTGGTTTCGCAATGCAATGAGAAAGAAAAACAGTGCGCTCTGCTTCTGAAAGGAATTCACCAGGCTGGGCACCGTTACATGATTGAAGCTGTCGCTTCGACTCCACCCCAAGCAAGTAGCTTCCCCCCCTCCACATTCACTACATTATAGAACCCAAAAAATGGATCCTCTCCTGACCCTTATTATCCAAGTCACCGCCACCGATGTGTAAGACACGCACCTTAGCGAGGTAGTTAAACCCTCGCCGTTCCCTGAACATGCCTATCTCGTCGTCACTGTGTGACTGCCCTAGACCAGACTATAGGCTTCCTAGACAGTGGCATCTTCAGCACTCCCCATTGAACATGGCAGGTCGGGTGTCTGGAATGCGCAGTGATCAGAAGCAGAAGATTGCCTCGCCTAGTCACCGAGGGCTGGAAGCCTCGGTGCAAATAGAAGTTTAACTGGCTGTGGCTCACAGCTGTGGTTGTAGGCTTGCATCTTGAGGAGTACCGATGAGGCACGACGCTCCTGTACTGTGCGATTTCTTTACACGCTCATAAATACCCGGAGGTCTCCCCTCCGGCGTCTCACATAGCCTGAGCCATTTTGGGACGCTAAGGCCCACATACCAAATATAACTAAACATTAGCATAACCACACCACTAATGACATGTACAAGACCCGGGTCTGATACCGGCCCGACTCAGGCCCTAGCTCGACCCGAGTATGAAGCTCATTTATTTATTTTATTCATTTTCAACATACTGTTAACCCTTCGGAGGGTTTTTAGATGAGTGGGAGCAAAAAGAAAGCACAAAAAGCAGCCACATTAAAAGTAACAATACAGTACTATTTGGTCGAAGCAGCGTTGATGAACAAGTACAAGTTAAGAAGAAGGAAACTACATGCATATATAAGGTGACAGCGGATGCATCATTAATTTTATACAATCCTAAAAACAAGTAGAGGAAAGTTTACACACTTGTAACAGTTGGTGTAAATACACATATTGGCAATCAACCCAATTCAAGGAGGCAATCGTAAAATGAAAATACAGTGCATACTATGTTATCAGGCTTATTGTCAAATGCTTTGTGTATTTTGCAACATTTCTATAAAGTCATCAACTGTACGCTGTTCGGCTCCAAGTTGGTCAAGGGCATTTCATTCTCGAATGCATCTAGGAAAAAAGAATAATAGAATGTGTTTTTGTTGCACGAGTATTCTTGGAGTGTGTGATCATGTGTGTGACGTATTTCTCTTGTCGTCTTGGTTATCACGTATCTTGTGTGGTCTATTTTAAAACAATTGTACAATAACTGATCTAGAAACTTCAGACGATCACTTTTTGCTCGACTTTCGAGTGTGGGCAAACCAGCACGGCGTAGTAATTCAGTTGGGGAGTCGAGGCGGCGATACCGGTTGAAAATAAATCTAACCGCTTTACGCTGTACGTTTTCAAGCGTTCCGCTACCGCTGCCCATGAAGAGAAACCAGATTATGCTGGCATACTCCAAGAACGGTCTGACAAGTGTGACGTATGCTAGACGCTTAGTGTCGCGGTCGCCGTGTCGCAGCGTCCACTTAAGGAAAAACAATCTCTTTAAAGCCTTATTTGCTACAGTTTCTATGTTCACTATCCAACTAAGATCGGAAGTTATAATCACACCAAGGTATTTGTACTGGCCTACATTTTGTAGCACGGTGTTGTTGTAACCATAATGGAAGGGTAAGCGCGATTTCTTTTTTGTGACTTGCATCGCAACTGTTTTGTCAGAATTAATCACCATTTGCCAGTTAGAGCACCATTGTACAACGTCATTTAGGGCATCGTTCAATTCAATTTGGTCACACCAGCTTTTGATCTTTTTGTATAATAATGCCACTTGGCCGCTAGTTACGGCGAGCGCAAGCCATGGCTGCCCGCGAGGATGGAAGACGATGTTCTGGGGCAGCGCGTGCTCTGGCTAGTTGTTGTTCGTATTGAAGCAGCCATCTTGCCAGTTTTCGATGCGTCTCCCTGCCCGCTCAGTTCTTCAAAGTTGAAGACCTTTTGTAACACGTGGCAATATGCAGTCGTCTGCAAAAGTCTAATGTTTACGTTAATGTTGGTTGTTAGCTCATTTATAAATAGAAGAAATAATATCGGTGCCGAGCCCGAACCCGGCCTGGGCCTTATCCAACAACTCCTTATCCAACCTGCACTCTGCTTGACCCCGCCCCGTGGGCCGAGCGCGAGCCCCTACAGTGCTCTAGTCTGTACCGTAACTGGCTATGCTTTATGTTTTATATTCACTAACACAAATGGACTAATCATCATGAAATACTGACTTGTGGAGCCATTGATGTTCTTACTGCCAATATATTTGACAAGGTTGGTAGAAAGCAGATACCATGTAAATTATTACAATTGTAAAACTTGGTATCTTACAAAAATAATAATAAATCACAATTACAAATATAATAAAGGTCCAGCAAGATGATATAAGGGACTACCAGGCTCTGGCCATCTAATATCATGATGAGAGCACTCACGACTTAGAGAACATAAGGGCGCAGGTCCAGAGGACATCGGCCATGTTGACACTGCCATGTCCATACTTTTGCTTGAACTTCTCGGGGCCATCTAGACAAAATAGTTGGGCATGTAACTGGACAATTCCACCGCAAAATAGCCTATTCAGCATCGCTTGACCATATTAATGAGACAGAATGAATGATGAATGTGAAGGACTTAGTAAATCATCGTTACTAAGCAGAACAACAAGTAAGCTGAAAGAGCACACACAAAATGTTACTGCAACTACACTGTGAGCTACCACGATACACTACCAACTAACCAATTTTACTGTCTTGCACAAGAAAGAAAGAAACTTGCTTGTAACACTGCTCAGCCTGCAACTGCAGGCCAGAAGGCATACCCAATCGCACTTAACAACCTGCGTCGTTTGCGTGGCAAGCGGATGCTCTACCACATGGCCACGCGTCTGCTTGTGAATACAGTGAAAAGAACTTCCTCTGCTTGAAAATGCAGTGAAAGTAGCTTTCATGCTTTACAAATACACGTGTCCTGTATACATACTGCACAATACAATATGAAATATTGCAGTAATAATTGCCACTGGGAGTCAGAATGTTATCATAATGACTTCACGGTTAAAAACCCTTCGCCCACTACAAAAGCCACACACGCTACTGTGCCTGTTTTCTTAAGGCCACGTAGTGGGTGCACAGCAAGTTTGAAAAAGTTTCGTGCACGAAGTGTTTGAAGTACGCACTAGGAACAGGATATCGCTACTTCATTCAACTCCGAAAGGCGAAGCTTTAGGGTCTCCTAAGCTAACCTAGAAATCGCTGCAATGAACCAAGAATGACAAGAATGACACTCAAGGCTGCCTGCAATCTTTTTTTATTGAGTGAAACTTATGACAAGCAGGCACATGATCACAATTGCTTGTTCTGCATATTCCTTTTTACCTGTGATGTGTAGCTAGTACGGTTTTTTATAAGATGTAAAATTTACAGCAACTGGCCCAGTTTTCACTTCTACAGATCGCACAATACTGGATGTGACTATCGTCTTTAGTTTTTTTCATCATTATCTTGCCAGTCACGACAAATAGCTGAAATGAACAAAATAACGACCTGAAAGATACGCTGCATGTGTACTTGGGTCATTTTCCTTATCTGATCACATTCATTCTTGAGCACCGCACCTGGAAAACTTCAATTTCCCGAATGCTTCAGATAAAAATTCTAAACTGCTCATATTATAGAGGTTCGAAACATCACAGCTTCTGAAATAGCTCTTATCAATGTGCTGCCTTCATTTTCTCATTGATAATCAGGCATATGCTGGCAAATGCACTCACACAGCGGCTTACCTCGAAGAACAACAAAAGAGGACCTGCCAAGTTTGCTTAGTGACCATCGTGTTGTACTGCAAAGGTTCATGTCATTGTTTCGCTACCTGACTACTGGACAGCATTTATATAGAAGAAAATACAAAAAGAAAAAAACATGCGCATATTAAGACCGAGGTTTCTGTTAGGAAGACTAAATGGTAAAAATTAATCCAGTCATGTCACAACAATGCAGCCTGTAATCACATTGCAGTTTTGGCACATCGAACCCATGACAGAATTTAATATTAATGACGGAGGGGAGGGCGGGTGTGTGGCACAGCGTACAAATGAATACGCAGAAAGAAGTCCGGAGAATGCAGCAGCCCATGCATGTACGTGACGTTGTGGACGCACACATCGCTCCAACATCCTGGCTTAGATGACATCAAGGCAACAAAACCATGCAGTGGTTAACCGTGCATGTGATAATGACATTGCGGGTATGTAACTGGGCCTCTGTGCAAAAACAACAAGAAAACCACCATGCCATGGGCCGCCAACACTAACGGCACTATACAAAGCTTGGGTCCCACTATGATGGTGTTCCAATGTGGCTGTTTCAGTGAGATCAGTGCAAACCATATATACTGGATACACTATATACTATATATATACTAAAATGAAAGTAAGAGAAGTTTGCTGCCTCTTCCTCACCGGCAATCAACTTCTCCAGCTTGAGAACGCTTTCTGCTCCCGGACTTTCGAGATCTTGCAGCACATATACGTTCTTGAAGCGATTGGGGTTGCTGTCTTTGTCCTGTTAGTGCCAAAAAGTTGAAATGAAGCAGCGAGTGAGATATTTCAGAAACTGCTGCCAACTAAGTTAGCAGGAAGAATCTGGTTCAGGCACGTCCAGAGTACAAGTACCAGAAACATGATCAGCAGAACAAACAAAACAATAAAATGAGGCATTCAGTTTCAGAAGGCAATCACTTGTTTTGGCACTCGCTGATTTTACATCATGTGCACAAACAAGATTAGTGCACAAGATTGCCAAAATAATGCTGTCAAAGGCATATCATCAAAATAAAAATACAATTCACCTGACAGCAACACATTAAGCATATTTAAAATGATGGTAACTTAGCACTCGATCATTCAAGCACCATTTCTTTCTGATAAGATAAAATTCACAGATGAGCCAAATCACTTATTTATTAGTCATACTTCATTAGTCAACATGCTTAACTTTGGTGGCTAAGTGAATATACCTTGATAAAGCGTTCATACCTTGATCAGTCAGACAAGGTTACCTCACAAGATCTCCAGATGTACACACTTCACTGAACAAGTGTTCTTAAGAGTTTGCAATGACAATCAGAATTCCTAACAAGTGGCAGTTAACTTAAAATTGTCAAAGGGCCAGTTCAATTCTTTGTATGAGGAATAACGAATGTTCATCACATGAAACAGCTGTAACACAGGCGGTCACTCACCGTGCCAAAAAGTATTATACCCACGAGGTCTTTTGGACTGCTTGTGATCTTGTTCAGCATTGTAGACTTTGCAGCCTATGTTGATAAAAGTAGAGTTCTGACACTGATCAATGGGGCTTAACAATTGACATTCTTTGAAACACAGATGTAATGCTGTTTAGAACTGGATGGCCGATAAATCGAGGAGCTTCTGAGGAACACTGGGTTTCAGTTGACTAGCAAGCAGCTGCTTTAAAGAATCAACGAGACTACTACACTCCCTTGCCTCCATGACAACATGTATACACTGCAGGCCAAGAGTGACACATACATGAATAGGTAAAAATTTATTGCAAATTCGACAATTCTGAGCAGTAAATACCTGAATAAAATAACAATAAATGTGCAATACACTACGTTGGTCTTAGCCACACAATGCCTTGCCCTGCAAAATAATTTAATTTGTATCATTATAAGGCCTTAATGATTTAATTCAACAGCAATTAACATCAAAAGTTGGCTGATGACCAACAATAATTTTGAAGTTTACATTATAATGAAGTAAAATTTAGGTTCTTCAATGTTGGAATAACAGTGTTGTGACTGAGAATGCGTCATATAATGAAGCTACGCCCTAAACTATTACATCCGAAATGCTACATTGCTCATAGGGTAGAGCAGGTTTTATGTTCGTACATTTTATTACGTGCCTCGCTGTCAAGCTAAAGAATAAAAATCTTTTCACCTTAATGCACTGCATGAAAGCGGTGTCACCGTCAACTTCTTCAAACATGCCTTCCGTAGCGTCGATAAGAAACAGGATGCCATCTACGGCTTGCCCGAAGTCCTGCCACAAAACAAAAACGTTTTTATTTTCTGGCTGGTTAGTTATGAGCAAGCGATTACTAAGATGATGCAGAGTAATAAGAAGAGTAGCGGTACCACGGTGCTGCTTTCATCATCACTCTCTTCATCGTCCTGACGCATCCACGGCTGATCCATGCCAACTGCTGCACCCGCGCAGTGCAGTGAAGTTTCGCTAGAAACGCAAACAAAAATTTTCGTTATTCAAGAATGAATGTATGTACACAGTACGCGAAACACTTGACCATATGTCTATGCGTTTCTGACGCTATCCCCGCTATCACCTCACGAAAACCTGCGCGATGCTACGACACAACTCGAAAATACCGGCACGACGTGCTACGACTCTGCATGTTCCCCCTCAGCAACTAAGAACGTCACATTGATGTCATCTGAAATTGGTGCACTAAGATGATGGATACACTTTCATGTTATCCTGTAATAGCGAAGCTTAATTACGGGATATTTCTTGAGTAATGGCACTTGTTTCGATTGTCGAAACAATCTACCGCACGCTTTTCAGCGTTACAAAGCGCAACGTAGTTGCACAATGCGCCACCGACTCGCTTACTTTATTAGGTACGAGCAGACTTTGGAAATCGGCACTCACTTTTTACGGAAAGCGCAAACAATTGAATTAATTGAACGGTAACTACTTTCGCTTCAAGAACTTTATCGAGAACCACAATGCAGCGCGCAAAACCGGCGAACTGCCGCCATTCTAAACAGCCGCTTTGCGCGCATGCGCAAAACCACGTGACAAAGCCGTCAATAATGAACGACAAGATTCCTAATACCATCAAACTTTCTTTTATACAGCAAGACAATTAAACAAATTTGTGTGTTACTTAAATTAAAATGCTACTGCTGAAATAACCCTACTTTTTATTGAAATATGTGGGTTTATTTTCGCCTATTCCTGTTTTGGCAGAATCGAGACGCGAAGCTGTTGGCAACAGAAATAATAATGTTTATGCTCTGAGGGTTGCGTGTGTTTTGTGGTTTTGTTGTAGTAGTGTATATAACGCTATTAAGTTTTACACCCCACCCACCTAATTGCGTAAAAGATTAGGACCCCTTCGCCGTTCTTTACCGGATGCCAGAGAGGAAAGCGAAGGCTTCCGTACTAGGAAAAATCGCTCGGGTTCAAAGCGATCGGCCGTCCTAGCGCTCCGAATGTTGCCTTGATGCGGTTGCTGTATAGATGGATATCCTCCCTAGTTTTCGCCAATTGTTTGCAGTTGTGGTTCTTTTTGGTGCAATACATGGGTCCTCCGAATCCGAAGGTAAAGTACGCCATTGCACGGATCCAACGCGTTCGATTTCTCTCTGATGCAGTACGAATTTGCGGTCAATGCAAAGGTGACGGTTTCGTTCCAGGTAAGGAGCTCGTGATTACCGTCCCCTCTGGCAAAGTAGCGCGGCGAGTGGATGACGACCTGAACCTAACCTGCAAAGTCGCCTCTGATGAAAGGTAAGGGCCCTCTTGCGTGCTTACGTCTTTCGACCCGGTGTTTATTTGAAGTGTACGATGATACCTCATGGGTGGCAGCCGCACCTAATCTCGCCTTGAAATGGCCGCCTCCATCTCACTTTCGCGTTCTTGCTTCAGGTTCCACATAACGTGGGTCATTCCACAGGATAAGGTGCGCCAGGCGCATCGTGTCAAGATTGAGTCTGAGCATTTCAACGAGAAGAGTGTGACCATCTATAATCTGGAGGAACCCGACACCGGCTGGTACACATGCGTCGCACGCCATCACGATTCCAACGTCAATCGAGTGTTCAACAGAACGGTCTACGTCACAGTGTCAACTTACGGTGAGCTTTTCGCCGATTTTCTTGGGCGAAAAAAAAAAATGCCTGTTCTACTTTGTGTCACACACGAAATACAAACATTAACTTTAGAACATTAGCGCACTTAATAAAATAGGAGGACGAGTGCGTAACATTTTACGGGATCTAGAATCTTCGAGGCATTGTATAGACAACAATGTGTGGTGGTTGTTTGTTTAAAAATTAACCAACCACACTTACTGGCTGTTGAAACTCTGCCGCTCTGTTACAAGTTCTAATGGCGCTACATTACTTCTTTTCAGCGTTGTCTGGGAGACGGCCCTGCTACAACCAGTCGTTCGTGTGTGGCAACGGCTACTGCATTCCGAAACGATATGCCTGTGATGGTCACGTCGACTGTCACGACAGTTCTGATGAAGCCCCCAAGCACTGTGGTACGTTTCGGATCACATTGCTAGCTTTTGCTTGTGGTGGAAGTGACACTTGGAGTCATCGCAGTGATTTCAAAGTTGGGTCATTTTACTCAAAGTGCAGAGTTGGGCCTCGTGCTGTGTGGTTTGAAGCTTGTCGTAAGGATTCCGACTCATCCTAATGGCCCTACTTACACGGCAATGCAGTGATGTTAGTCCCCGACGTAGTCGACTATGCTGTGACGTTGTCAACTGTGGCACATGACATAGCGAAAATTATTTAACAGGACCTGCATAGTTTATGCATTTTTTGCTTGAAGAGATTAATAAATTTCTACATAAATTATGAGACGCAATAAGGAATGTGAGCATTTTTTTCTTTTTTGTTTTCACGAAGAATTGCAACGAGATTCGGGGCTAACGAGCCATCGTTACACATTCGTTCGTGTACCCGCAGTCAGCGCATCGAGCAGACCACAGCCGTGGAACGCTCCTATGCGTTGGCGCAACCATTGTGCTCATCTATTCTACTACGTCTAAGCCAGCATTTCCAAGCCATCCCGCAGAAACAGGCAGTAGGCCTCAAAACAAAGCTGGTCAGAAAAATTAAAAAATGAACGCCGCTCGCGTGCACGGGGGTTGGGCTTGTTCGCGTACGTCATGCGCACATGACCTCTTGATCGGATTCCAGAGAGGGTAGAGAAGAGATTTGGCTTGCGAAGGCTATGCAGAGGAGCGGCAAGGGTATTGAGCTCACCTCCTTTCATCCTCGTCTCACGCTGCTTAAAAAAAAACAGTTTTCTCAGCTCGTAATGAACCGATTCAAAAAAATTTTGTGCCAAAATGTTTCTCATCGTGCACCCAACAATTTCCCGGTATAAATAAAATTCGGTATGGGGCCTGGTGAGTGACCCTTTAACGGCTACCTCTGCATCTGGTTATTACGAAATGAAATGGTAAACGCTCTAAGGTAGTGTATAATTACCACCTGCATAGTTATGATTAGTCGATTCGGAACACCTACCTATTCTAAGAAACTGGTGATCCATGTGTGCCACTTGGGATTGCCTTGGATTCACATTCTGACTTGTCAGAGTTTGAATACTCGATTTCTCCATCACGTTTAACACAAAATAAATGCCACATCTTCGAATCCTTGACCTTAACGTCATTTATAACAATGATGATGTTTGCTGTATTTACGATCTATGCGCCAGCATACCACCCCTACCCACTTAGTCTACACACAGTTAATTTGTCAAAAATGGCTATTTTCGAGGTTTGCTTCACTAACGCATCAATCCAGTCCTGCTACCACACAATAAACGTTGCCTGAAAGCCTCAAGCTATCATGACGAATTACCAGTCTCGATAGCTGAGACTATCTGCTGGAATTTAATTAGTGATAGCAGTGAAGCTAGTCACTGCAGAGCAAATGATGCAAAAGGACTGCAAGATTGTTGCGATCCCCTACAAATATCGGCGTACGAAAAATTGATGAGCGGGTCGGTGTATGTAACTGTTTTTGTATATATGTTGTATGTCCTTTTGTGTGTTGTGTTGGTGTAGATGCAGTTTTTTCTTCCCACATAAGCTTCCTTTTTTATGAGGGAGAATCACTTCCACAAGGAAACAAGCACTTCTTTGTGGCACCAAACACCATAACTGACTCGTGGCATGTACTCGGGGTGTCATGTATCGAATGGCCTTGAGCTGTATGATGCTTGCAGCGTGGATCAAACTGGCAGATGTTTGAAAGTTCTGGGAGCATGCTAGCAGTGCCAGATATGAAAGTGGGAGGTTTGTAACTATACATCGTAGAGCATATAGCTTGTGGCATAGAGCTTTGCCCCTTGCCATGGCATGGGTTTTCAACTAGTTTTGGTGTCTACATGTCATATCATGTCTCTCCCATCTATCGCGGCCTTACGATTCTCAGAAAGTGGGTTGACGTCAGGCTCCCTTTGTCGTAGCCAGATCTCGGCGGTGGCACTGCACAAAGTCTTGCTAGACATTTTGTGCGCAGCAGGGACAGTCTCCCTCTGGTCAGCGTAGCTCAACACCCGATTTTCTTTCTCATTCGTCGGTTTCTTTATTTAGGTTTTTCTCGTACAGATTTCACCAACAGTTCCTGGCAACAGCAGTGAGCGCACAGTACTTTACATTGTGCCTTCCGAAAACTTGTCCGAAGAGCAGTGCATAATTATGCTACGCCGAGCTGCACTTAGTGAAGGCGTGTGCAAATGAAGTTTGCTTTTCCTCAAGCAATTAGGCCCATGGGTCAGTGATCGTGAGAGTATGCAGCAATGCCACCAGGGACCTTTCCCTTTGTAGCGTAATGCTGTGAGCCATTTGCCGTGAAGAAGTGCTAACTGTGCCTTTTTTTTTTTTTTTTTGCTGTGCATTTCTGCTCGGGTTATAGTTAAGCCCTTTTGCTTCTCCTGCCCCCTTTGGGAGTTGGGCGTGGTACTGTATTTGATTTGATAATGTTGCCGCAAGAAATAAAAAGTATTGCAGATTTTCTTGGAACCGTACTGTGCATTTGCCTTGCTTCGTTCGGCACCATCGTTGCAGGAATGCATGTGTGCAGGTGCACTAGCTCACATAAGGCAATTGCAAATATCGTCCTGTTGGCTCAATAAATCGAAACCTGTACCAGTGGCCGTACTCTGGTGAGGTACGTGCACTTAGTCTGATCAAATGCACGTATCTGCATTTGATCAGACTAATGGGATTTTCTTACGTATAAGAGATCACACCTGCCTCATTGTAGAAGTAGCTTGCATGACATGTAAAGAATTCCCATACGTAAGTGAGCCACAGTTAGCGTTAACGCGAGGAGAGTGGTCATTCATAACAGGCACCAGTGCAAACAGGTTATGAGGAGGTCCTATCATGTGCTTTGCATATCACAAATTGTCATTTATTTTTTATTTCTCCTTTTTCTGTTCTTCTTATAAGGTGCCACTAGAAAACACTACATCTGCACTAGGCAGCATGTGCACATCTTTGTCATTTCTGTGTCCTTCCTTCACTGCTGCACTGTACCGCCGTGACAAAAATGGAAAACCAACTAGTTCAAACCAGTGCTCTTCCCAGCTCTCTGTCAGAAGTGACAGATATCTTAAAAACGTATTTTCTAGTTCCCGAAACCCATAAGTATCCCTGAAGTCTGATGAGTAAGCGATGACTACTTATATTGTGGCGGGAAACATGTCCTCAAAGTGTGCCGTCACTCAGGTCCTGACCCTTGCGAGGACAAGGTGCTTTGTGAAGATGGCCGCTGTCTGCCTCGCTCGCTGTGTTGTGACCCTGCTACGCAACCAGACTGCCGAGTTACTTATGTGCTTCCCTGCTGCAAAAAGTACCTGGCCAGCATAGGTAAGACGTGTCAGATATTAGTGCCTTCCATAGGAAGTGGAATTCGTTCAATGGCGCTGCGTTTAGAAAAGGAGCCTTATCATCAAGTACCAGAAGTCATAGATGGTGTCTATGACTTCTGTGAACTTGTGAAGAGTAGCACAATATAGTAATATGAAATGGACTCTTCTAAGAAATATGTGTAACATGTAGTAGTCCTCTCTCAAAAGGCTCCATCCTCACCACTCCCGCAGGGGCGCCTGCGCAAGTAGGCGTTTGGTGTGTAGCGACACCACGGACCCGAGCTAACGGGGGAGTTTCTACTCTCTCCCACGCCTAGCCGTGCGTGGCTTTGCCGTGTCTGGGGAAAAGGGGATCCTGGGGGCTGAGCCGACGCTGGGTGATTGGACCGTTAAGGCCCCCCGGCAGAGGCAACGCACCCCTTTGGCCCCGGCTTCGCGTAGACGGCACACCTGGGCTGACCCACCCAGGGGAAATCGGCAGTCGCCTTTTCCTATCTCTCTCTCCCTACATCTTCATCTTTATCTCTTATTATTTATCTGTCCTGTCTTCTACTCTCTTCCGTTTACTTCCAAAATTCCTGGCTGCTAGGGTTAACCCTGTGCAAATAGCCTATCTTGGTCTAGGCACATTGGGTTATAGTGGGGTTGTACGGCTGGCGTCTGCAGGTTTCAGCGTCCGCAAACTTGTAGCGTCCCCTCGTTGGGCTCCGTGGTGGGTGGCCGCCAACGCTGCTGAACAAAAATAAGACAGGCATGCATAGAGCATTCCCCCTACTGTCTGATCGTACCGGCTTAAAGCGGGTACGCACCGATGATATAAATTTTTTCAACCAGCCAAAAGAAACATATCCTCACTTTCATGTTATCCACTGTGAAAAAACTGAAAAGCAAGCCAGGACTGTCTCTCCTTTCCTAGTTTCTAGATGTCTTACCGAAACTCTTGGCACAGAATACAAGGTAACCAAAATGGCTAGTGGAAACCTTCTCCTCGAAATCCGTGACAAAGAACAATTTGAAAAGCTAGACCATCTTTCAGATTTCGGTGGCATACCAATAACCATAACACCACATAGATCAATGAACACAACTCGCGGAGTGGTATCTGACATGGACTTACTTGACTTGACTGAGACTGAACTTTTGGAGAAGTGGAAGAGCCAAAATGTCACTAATGTACAGAGAATCATCATGAGAAGAGATAATAAGGAAACACCGACAAAACACTTAATACTCACGTTTGCATCCAGTAAACTACCGGAATGTATTCAAACAGGGTACACGAAGACATCTATCAGGCCGTACATACCAAACCCTCAAACCTGTCGTGGTCGCCAGACTTGTACACAATGTGGAGTCCTAGGCCACGTGTCTGAGAACTGCAAACAACCGCCACACTGTGTAAACTGTGAAGGAAACCATGCCGCATATTCACGCTCCTGCACATACTGGAAAAAAGAAAAAGAAATAATTACGTTGAAGGTGAAGGAGAACATTACATTTAAGGAAGCACGGCGAAGAGTCGCTCCATTCTATGGACCTACATACGCTTATGCGGCGTGTCAGGGGGCACTGCCGCACCAGCCCTCGCCACTCCTTCGGGCCGCGCATACCGAGCCGGTGGTTGTGGCACCTGCCCCCAAGGTGACTGTTGCCAAGGGTACACCGCCTACTCTCAAACAGAGACCGGAGACTTCAGAGTCGTCGGGTCTCAAGGCCTCACCTCACCAGGCGAGGCCCAAAATTCGAACTAACAGCCCGCACGTGCGGGCATCCAGTGCCTCCGAGGAGGCAATGGATACGTCGGTACCCTTGGTGCCGAAAGAGCGGCGTGGCTCCTTGGAGCGCGCCAAGAAAACAAAAAAGCAGATAACAGGGCCTGCCTGGTGACGGCCCTGTTAAGTGAACTCAAACTCCCTGTCTAAACAGCCACTCGCTTTTCGAACACACAGCACTATTTTACATTCACCATGAACACTCAAATTATACAATGGAACGTCAGGGGCCTTATCAGAAACCTTGACGACATCCAAGAACTCTTACACGAACACTCACTAAAAGTGCTGTGTGTACAAGAAACACACCTTAATTCAAAACACACAAATTTTCTTCGTAAATACGTTATTTTTCGAAAGGACCAAATGATGCCACGACATCATCCGGAGGTGTTGCCATCATAGTGAATCAAGGGAATTGCATGCACACACTTACAACTCCAAACATCCCTTGAGGCAGTGGCTGTTCGAGCGGTTCTTTTTGATAAACTGATCACAATCTGCACTATTTACATTCCTCCTAGCTATCAGCTGCAAAAACGTGATTTACACTCTTTAATTGATGAACTTCCGGAGCCTTATGTTCTCCTTGGAGACTTCAATGCGCATAGCAGGCTATGGGGAGACTCTCGTTGCGACGCGCGAGGTCGACTGATTGAACAGTTCCTTCTCTCGTCGAGCGCATGTCTCCTAAATAGAAAAGAACCAACCTATTATAATCTCGCATATAACACCTACTCCTCCATAGACGTAAGCATAGTATCTCCATCTCTTGTGCCTCTACTCCAGTGGAAAGTCGTCAGTAATCTGTACGGAAGTGACCACTTCCCCGTAGTTTTGAGCACAACTACAGCAACTGAGTGTCCACCCCGTGTTCCCAAATGGCTCATAAACAGAGCCGACTGGGAACAGTTTTATACCATCGCTCGTATAGATTGGAGTGACATATGTACTTTAAGCATTGATGTTGCTGTCGACTACTTCACAGCTTTTTTGATTGATGCTGCAACAAAATGCATCCCACAAACAAATGGACACCCAGGAACGGCGTGTGCCATAGTGGAACTCTGAATGCCGAAACGCGCGCAAACAGCAAAACAGAGCTTGGAGGCTGCTTCGGAATTCACCGACAGCCGAAAATCTTGACACCTTCAAGAAAATAAAGTCTCAAGGCAGGAGAACGCGTCGGCAGGCCAGAAGAGAAAGCTGGCAGAAGTTTTCGTCAGGGATCAATTCATACACACAGGAGGCTAAAGTCTGGAACATGGTCGGTAGGATAGCAGGAAAACAAGTACACACACTTCCACTCATAAACACTCAGGGTGATACCTTGGAAGATCAGGCAAACTTCCTCGGTGCACACTTCGAACAGGTGTCCAGCTCATCCCACTGTACTGATACTTTCCAAAAATACAGAACAAGAATAGAAAGGCAAAAACTCGAACACAAATGCACTAGATACGAGGCATATAACCAAGCTTTCAGTCTAGCTGAGCTCCAAACGTCTCTAAGCTCCTGCAGTACTTTTGCCCAGGTTCTGACCGTGTGGTGTATGAAATGTTAAAAAACCTACCAATCGAAACATGAAAAACCTTACTTTGTTTGTACAATGCTATCTGGTTTTCTGGCACTATTCCTACCTCCTGGAAAGAGGCTATTATTATTCCCATTTTGAAAGAGGGCAAGGACCCTTCTTCAGCTTCGAGTTATAGGCCTATTGCACTTACAAGCTGCTTGTGCAAAGTCTTCGAAAACATGATAAACTGCCGACTTGTACATTTTCTTGAAACAAACAATTTTCTCGACCCATTTCAGTGCGGGTTTCGAGAAAGTAGATCCACCACAGACCACCTTGTTCGTATCGAGGCACAGATCAGAGACGCCTTCGTTCATAAACAATATTTTCTCTCTGTGTTCCTCAATATCGAAAAGGCTTATGATACAACATGGCGTTTTGGAATTCTAAGAGACTTTTCCCACCTTGGCGTGCACGGAAGAATGTTTCACATAATCAAAAGTTACCTGTCAAACCGAACATTCCGTGTCCGAGTGGGCACGGTTCTTTCCCAAACATTTGTCCAGGAAACAGGCGTGCCACAAGGTGGTGTACTTAGCTGCACACTTTTTCTCATAAAAATGAATTCCTTGCGCTTGACCATTCCTCGCAATATGTTTTATTGTACATATGTCGATGACGTCCAGCTTGGCTTTAGGTCTTGCAATCTGGCAATGTGTGAGCGGCAGGTTCAGTTAAGTTTAAACAAGGTCTCCAAATGGGCAGAGGAAAACGGATTCCGACTGAACCTACAAAAAAGCACGTGTGTCTTGTTCTCCCGAAAGAGAGACATGCACTTAGAACCCGACATTGAACTGAACGGTCAACGTTTGTCTGTAAATGCGGAGCATAAATTCTTAGGATTAATATTGGACAACAAGTTGACCTTCGTACCGCACATCAAGTATTTAAAAACAAAATGTTTAAAAGCCATGAACGTTTTAAAAGTGTTGTCACATACTACGTGGGGTAGTGACAGGCAATGTCTCATGAACCTGTATAGAAGCCTCATTCGCACCCGCTTAGATTATGGGGCCGTTGTTTATCAGTCTGCGACTCAAAGTGCTTTGAAGATGCTGGACACCATGCACCATTTGGGCATCCGCCTTTCTACGGGTGCTTTTCGCACCAGCCCCGTAGAAAGCCTTTATGTTGAGTCAAATGAGTGGTCGCTTCATTTGCAGAGAACTTACATGTCCTTTGTTTATTTCCTTAAGGTGAAAGCAGACAAGAAGCACCCCTCATACTCTACTATTAATGATTTGTCGAGCTCCACTCTGTTTCAAAACAGGCCTTCGATGAGGCAGCCCTTTTCAATTCGCCTGAAGGGTCTAGCTGAGGAAACTGGAATATCACTCGAACACAGTTTAATGGCTCCTGTAGCATACCCGCCACCGTGGCAGTGGCAGACTATTGACTGCGATGTGTCTTTTCTAGAAGTTACAAAACATGCGCCTATTGCCCATATTCGAACATACTTCCTGGAACTTCAACACAAGTACACACGTCCGGAGTTATTCACAGATGCCTCCAAGTCTAACTCCTCCGTGTCCTACGCTGCTGTCGGCCCATCCTTTTCGGATGCTGGCCCTCTACATCCAGGCGCAAGTATCTTCACAGCGGAAGCTTATGCGATACTTTTGGCGGCTAAACACATCAAGCAATTACAAATACAAAAAGCAGTAATTTATACAGACTCCCTCAGTGTGGTAACGGCTCTGCACACTCTTAAAAAACAAAAAAACCCAGTCCTTGTCTCACTTTACTCCATTTTGTGCACACTCTACACACTCAAACAACATGTTGCAGTGTGCTGGGTGCCAGGGCACCGTGAGATCGAAGGCAACGTGAGGGCAGATCAGCTCGCTGCATCCGTCCACAAAAGCACTGCCCCAACACCCATATCGATCCCGGCCCTTGATCTTAAGCCGTCTCTCAAACGAAACCTCAGGGACTACTGGCAGAGCAAGTGGGATACACACACACAAAACAAACTACACATTATGAAGCCACACCTTGGTCATTGGCTACCCGTATCGAAATCGCGTCATACAGAGGTAATACTAACGAGACTCAGGATAAGACACACATACATGACACACACATATCTTTTGTCCGGTGGCGATACACCATTGTGTGACAGATGTGGTGAAGCATTAACAGTCCTTCACATGTTAATCCAGTGCAAACACTTAGAAACTCTAAAAAAACAACATTTTCCATTACCCTACCGACAACATATACCTTTACACCCTGCAATGTTCGTTGGTAGGGAACCGCTTTTTAGTCATAAATTATTGTTAGCGTTTTTAAAAGAAATTCATAATTTTCATATCATGTACCCGGGCATTCCGTAGCATGACCTCTCCAGAGAGGTATTTGCTGCGGTGGCTACACAGGAAAGCACCTGCCTCACGGCCCTTGGACGCAAGGGTATGAACGAGTGAGGTACTTGTGCTAATGCCATACATGTCCACCATCGTTTGTCATTATCACCTACTTTTGTCACCTATTCACACCACACACACCTTTCACGGCATGGTCATGATTTTATTACTTCTATGTTTTTACCCGCCTTACTGCGAGGAATTTTATGGCCCTTATACACCCGCTAATCACAATCATTGTCCACATTCCTTGTTCCATGAACTGGCGCTCTTTGGCCATCAAATGGCCTTTGCGCCAAAAAACACCATATATCATCATCATCATCATCCATCCTCACCATCTGTGTCGCATCACTTCTCACCCCATGCTGCCTCAAACTTTAAATATTGCAGCACTTGAATGGTTATGGGTAGACATGTGTGAATACTTGAACGAATGCTACTTGAATTCGCTTCAGCATGATCTTAAATTTGCAGTTTCAAAGCATTTGCAGTGAACGAATAGGCATAGATTAGGCTGCATGTAACTCCTCTGTAAAGGTGGTTTTACTGAAGCTTAGGAGTTCCATGCCCCGAAAGCATCTATGCACGAAAAAGACGCACTGCCGTGCAGTACCACTTCAAAGTTAAATCAACATATTACCCTTACCTCGATTAATCACTTGCTATTAAATTTAAAAGCTTGTTATATGGGCTTGTATTCTCAATATATAGTGAGTTTTACTGGTCATCATAATTTACTGATTATTACTTGCATCGTACTCAAATTCAAATTCTGCTATTATTCAAATTTGCTTCAACTCCATTTCGAACCATTAGAGAAGAACATTCAGTCATGCCTTGTTCCAATTTTTTTTTTAATATTGAACTGGTTAGTTGCATCATGACAAATATGTATGCTCATTTTGATTAATGATACGCTGTATATACTATTCTACCTGTTCGATTAGAAAACTTTTGACCGAATCACTATTCGCTTCGAACCTGAAATTTACTATCCGCCCATCTTTAGTGATGAGGACGGGCTCAAAGGCTTGTGGCACTGCGTATGTATGTGGGATTTCAGAAAATTCATCATAGCAGCTAAGTGGCTGTAATATTATGCTGTGGATGTCGACGTCATTCTTTTAATCTCTTTTTTTTTTCCCACTTTGTGCCAGACAGCATTGTGTTCGGCTGTAGAGCATTAGTTCGATAACTGAATGTGGTGGGTGGTGCATTCCTCAGTGCGCATACTGTTGAGATGTGCAATAACTTTGCTTATCTAAATGCGCAGTAGAAACCATAGTTTGATAAAAAATATTCTTGAGCCCTTATGCTACAGCCTTTCTTACACTTTGTTTTGGGATATTAAACCTTATGATTAAATACCGAGCATCTTGATGACCTCATATAATTGGAGCCCTTTTGCAGTTAAAAAAAGATTAAAGATTAAAAATGGTAAATACGGTGTTATGTACTTGTCATTATTGTATGCATGGCATTCAGGTCATGATTCCTGCCAGCTGTTATGATGTTTTGCTGTTCTTTCCTCTCCCCTCTCTTTTTTAACTGCAGCCAACACTACAGCCACGCTGGTGGGTGTGCTGGCGCGACCCCCACATCAGCGGTTGGGTGCCAGTGTAGAGTACCTGCAGTCGTCAGTGTACACCGTGGTCAGTTGCGCGGTGGTCTTTATCCTGGTTGCCACGGTCATGGTAGCAGCCATCTGCCGCATACACATGCGCCGTGCTGTCATGGCGAGCCCCTTCCCTTTTGTCAGCGGCGACGCCGACCACCGTTGCCTTCCCTGGTGCAGGCCTCTGCATCACCCAGTCACCTCAACGGGGGTGAGTTGGTCGTTGAACTTGGCCAGGTTGCCAAGGTAGACTCAATGAAAAGTTTTCATTGGAAGCTGTAAACACAGCAGATATCAAGAGCAAGAGATTGAATTGACATAACTTTAGGTAATCAAGAAAGTCTGTAAAACTTTATCAGACGTAAAGCAGGGTGCACATGAACTTGCTGTGTAATGTCTTGAAAGGAAGCATTGTAGTTATGGCAAGCGCATTTATGTAGGGTTGGAATGCAAAAATGTTGGTGTACTCTGCATTGAATGCAAGGTTAAAGCAACCCCAGGTGGTCAGAACTGCTTCAGAGTGCCCCATGAACGGTGTGTTTCATAACTGAATCATGACTTTTTGGCACGCAAGGTACCAGAAATATGTGTTTTCCTCCCGCCTTTTATGCGCAGATGAGCTTTGGCGAAGGGGGCCCTGCGTCATGCTCGCACCTCACTGGAGCCGACCTCCGGACAGTGACGTGCGCCCACGGCAGCTACGTTGTAGCCACGTACAGCAGCAGTGGTACGCCGGGTGGTCGGCCCAAGCTGCACTTTCTCCAGCAGCTCCCCAAGCCCCCCGAGTACTCGCCGCTCGCCCAGGGCCCACCGCCGCCCTACCAGAGCACCGAGCAGCTGGCCACGGCCGGCAACAAGGAGCCCTGTGCCGAAATGCCAGAGATGACTGCCGCCAACTCCTGTGGAGCCTTGGCGCCCGGCTCGTCTACCTCCCACCCGTGGCCGTGCCACTTGTGGCCGCGGGATGAGTCGCCGCCACCGCGCTTCTCCTCCCTACAGGACCTGAGCGAATGCGAAGCCCAATGTCTGCTGCCCGCATTTGAGGAAGCCGTGGCATCCGACAACCGCTATGACGCAGACACTGCTGGTTTCCACAGAGCACCTTTTCATGACGACCTTGCATTAGCCAGTGACCGGGAGGAGCCACATTCAGGTTCCTCCCCCGACTGCACTCTGGCCGCTGGCGGCGGGAGCAGCAACGGGTTTCCGGAAGCATCTGACAGCCTTGTCGTGTGTACACCGTTCCGCGATGTATCGTTTTCTCGCGGGCCAGCGTTTCCAACTAGAGTGGAGGATTCGGCAATTTCCACTTCCCAGGGGTCCTCTTCTGACAGTGCCAATGGGCACAGCGCATGTCAAGAATTTGTCAAAGCTGAGCAGAGGGCATCTACTTGATGTCAAGCTTTCCGAAAGAAAGGTTGATGATTGTGGCTGGCCGTGGGTATTGCTGCAACTTATGTGAGCCCTTTGTTTTTAAGTTTTGAGTATAGAGAGGCCCTGGGCTTGCTAGGAGGTCTTTTATCGCTATTTTTTATCAGCATCAAGGAATTATGCGTGCACGTGCTTTGCGGCAGACAATTTGCCATAAGCATTGGGCGAACGTGATTGTTTTTTTGCACACGATAGATGCACCAGCACTTAATGCTTAGGACTTCAACAAGGTTATTGCTGGAGTGGGCCTTTCTATATAAAAAATGTGAGTGCTGAACTTATGGAGGGCCTGTAAAGATATGTTCATTTAGAGCAGCAAAACGAATGTGAACTGGACAGAATGATTTGGTGGGCGCAAAAATTGGATCATAGTGCTGCGTGGTTCTTAGGCTTCGATGCTAATCCCTGATCAGGGAGAGAGGGTGAGGTATGTTGGCTTGCTATCAATAATACCACACTAGGTTGTGCCGTGCTTGTTTTGAAAGTTGTGTTGCCACGAATACACATGAGTTGTCTTTTCGATTGATACTGGGAAATGTGCAAGCCAGAATGTGTAACGGCTCTATGTCATGTCTTTAGACTAAGGAAACCAATGTGTGGTTATGCCCTGAGATAGTCAACATGGTACTTTGGTTGCATTAATAAGCTGGGTTCTGGATGTATCTAGTGATCTGTATATGCATCAAGTTTGCTGCTTCATCAGTTAATAAGTTCACCGATTCGACGCACAGTCAGGTAACTGCGCGAGTTGTACTATACGGAGATTCTTTTAAGTATTCTGGGGAAATTCTTTTTTAGAGTGATGATTATTGCTTGGAACTGAAATTTTTTAGTATTTTAACGAAGATGCTTTTCTTCTGTTGGGTTGGTACGTTCGAGGCCCATTTTTTCAGTATTGAAGCCTAGAAGTGGTGAGAGCGACGGAATGAACTTTTCTTCAAGGATGACCTGGTCTGGCTTCAGCTGTTTTAGAAAAGCGCATAAAATGTGAAACACACCTTTGAACCGTAGTTATACAATGTTGTGACCTGAGCAGTTGAAACCTTTGACTGCAACTCTTTTCAACTTTTAATATTGTTTTGCTCTTTCTTTTCGGGCTACCCATTATAACTTGTTAGTGTCTTTATAACTGGTTAGTGTGATTGCTCCTACCATGTGAAACCGTTTTCTTTTTTCCTTCCTGTATTACAGTGCCAATTTGGACATTCCAAATGTCTTTACGTAAAGCTTGAGCAACATTTCTGTTTCTTGATACTGCTGTGTGTGATTTGCAGTTCTGTATGAGCATGGTTTTCTTTTTTTCATTGACCCTTGTTCAGCCATGTGAGTTTGAGATTCATATGCTGGGGCGATACCTATTTATGTCTTGTTTTAATGTTATGTGAAACCTGTTTATTCTCTTGTAAGATGTTACTTGTCACTTGAGATGTGCATTTAATTGAGCCATTAAGCTCACAGCAATTTTACACTTTAACTGCTTAGTCTTTAATGCAACAAAGGCTTACTGTAACCTAAACAGTGCATCGAATGGGAAAAAAATATTTTCATGCTTATATCTTTAGAGCTCACAGAGGTTACTTACTCGCATCGTCTCTGCAATACGTGTGGTCTAACGCGTGAAAGAGAGAGCACACAAAGGAAATCGGGATAGTGGGGCGAGCCGTGTTAGCGCCACCTCTTGGTTTGAGATTGACCTGCTGCCCAGGCGCATAATATATGTAATTTTGGTGTTAAGCTTTAAAAATGTTGTGCCAACAACATTTTTCAATACCATGGTGCAGGATAAGTAATACAATTCTGTATCTGACCATCAACTTTGTAATGACATGGCCCACCAAACGGCAACGTGTAGCTTAAATCCTCGGACATTTGTTTCTTTTACCCTGGTATAACCCAGTACCATGGCTGTGTTCAATGTGATTACAGTTGAATTGGGAAAACCATGTCTGTCAGCAATGAGCTTGTTACTGTATATATATTTAGTTTGGTATGTAATGCAACTACCGTACTGGAGCTCTAGACAAAAACTGCAGATTGCTTTTAAAGCTTATTCTGGCATTGAGGTGTTCATGCCCCCTTGGGTGCTCGTTCCAGAGCACCATTGTGCTGTTTAGTTTTTTAAGCCACAGCCGATGAGGCAAGGCCAGTTTCTTGGTAACCGTTCTTGAGTAACGCCGTTAAAATGAGTTGGGATTCTGGAACCACATTGTCTGTGAAAAATCCCAGGCTATTTGCTGTGGCTGGACGTAGCATTTCATTTGCCAACTCTCAACTCGGCTGAGGGAGGTAATGCTTTTTGTGTGACGTGTCTGTATTTTCACATCAAAGTGGACTCATCGTGCTGCAACATATCAGCTAGTGTACAAAACCCACAGGTACAGTAGACTCTCAGTAAACAGAACCTGAAGGGACCGGGAAAATATGTTACGTTTAACAGGAGTTCCGTGGTCTGAGAGGTGAACATGGGTGTAGAATACAAGCCCGAAACCAAGTGTTGCAGAGGCAATAGTTCCGTTTAAGCATTACTTCCATTTATCAGATTTCCGTTTACTGAGAGTCTACTGCAGTGAAAAGTCTCACAGAGAGGTTCAGAACAGGACACAAGAAATATGAAATAGCAGTTCTGTCTGCAGCCACCAATCGAGACTATCACTTTCCCTGAATCCGATTGATTAACCAACACAATCTAAACGAAGGGAACTTTTCGTTGTTTCTGTTAAAAACACTGTCGCACCACGAATTTCTAGTGCATTGTTGGCATAGTCAGCGAAAGTATCTGGGCTCTATGAATGTGTTGAATGCTTCATCAAAAACATGAAAGGATTTGATTGAGAGCCAACGACTTTATGAATCTGAGGCTAATGCACAAGGCAGCGACGACACGCGGGGCAGGGGTGTTTGTGAGACACCTCACAGCCACTCTTGGCTTTCTCTTGCTCACATGTTTTTCACCAGGTAGCCTAAAAGCAGCAATATGTTTCTGCCATGGGGAAAGAGGGAATGCTTTGTGCCAAAAAAAAAAAAAAAAAAAAACTGCTGCCACAAGAGCGCTGCTTCTTTCTGTCCTCTGCCCGTCCATTGCTTCTGAAAGTATGTTCGGACAATGGCACAGAATGCGTGCTTTGCAGATTGCAGCGCGTCTGCTGTGCATAAAGGTTTCGAAGGAGGCTCTCCTCTCAGTGACTTGTTTGCTTTTTTGTTAATTTGTGACCTCCTCTAAAGCTTCTTTGAGTAAGCACGCTCACGCCAAAAGAGCTCCTCTGAAACTGTTCAGAGAAAGGAGAAAGTGCTCATTACGCTGGTAACAAACTGTGTGGTGCGGCCCTTGCATAGTAATGATATGGAAGCCACGAGTAGAGAGGCCAGCATAGTTTAATTTAGGAGTTTCAATCACGAGGACAAGATAACTTGCTTGAAAAAAATGCAACTGCCTTCAAAGTAAGTGCACCACAATTACATCGCCAGATGGTTTTCATTATTGTACACACCATCCCTGTGCAAGTATTAGTGGTGTACTCTTTACGAGTTTCATTGCACTGAGTGCAGCACTGGAAACATTGGTTCTAATGCACATGCAAGACCATCTTAGAAAAGCAAGCTCTAGAGGAGGGCCTTCTCGAGCCTCTCCACTTTTTCTGGTTGTGCTTCAAAACAAGTTCAAAGTGAACAACAGTTCATAACCTCCGAGTAGTAGCAGCGTGCGGCTCATATACTACATGCTCCTTTTCCCTGTGAAGTAAAATAGAAGAAAAGAGGAAGAGCTACGCTGCGTGTTTATATTTTACGAGCACACGCCAATGGAACGTCATTTGTGTCTCAGTTTCCTGGTTATGGCTGCGCTACTACTGTCAACTAGCAGCCGCTGTTGGATAATGTGTGGCTGTTTGCTTGTGCAAGCGGGCAGTACGTGTGTTGTGCAACTCGATGCATTTGTGCGTAATATTCAAGGAGGCATATCCCTTTGTACTGGCATATCAAGGATCGCCTTGTGTGTGTGTGTGTGTGTGTGTGTGCATCTGTGTGTATACGTTATCACTGGCAAAAAGCTCAGACTGAATTCCTGCCAAACAGCTTGCTTCTACTGGGGCTTGTGCTTCTTTGCTCTGCTTGGGAATGCTGACGTTTCGCTGCGAGTTGCTTTTGCTCGGGCTGCTAAAGGACTGTAGAGAAACGCGGCAACTTGCTTCTACGACGCACCTGTTACTTGCTACGATATATCCATAAGCACTTGTTGTAGGTGCTTGTTCCACCTGCGTAATGCACTTGCACACTGCACCGCGATGTGCTCTTTCTTTTTCGGACATAATTGCCCCTTTCTTTTACGAGCATCATTTGAAATTGGGAATGGTGCTTTGAGCACGAGTTTAACTGTCACAGTTTTGCCAGCACTTGCACTGAATAATGTTAACTGCATAGCTCCCCGCCCCTTCTATCATTTGTCTATCTGTTACAAAAGATTGCACTACAGAGAAAGAGAAAGCAAGGCAATGGAAACTCTGAGTATAGTTTGAGTTCTTAGACGAAAAGGCATGGTGTTTACAACAGTGTAGGCATGGGGCTTTTGAAGCAAAATAATCTTTAGTGCTTCCTGGCCTGTCTCATTCTTCAAAGACCTCCACGTGAGAATTTGACATCGCTGCATATGCAGGAGGTAGAGTAATTGGGTATGGTTTAAATATATTGCACATAGCCCACATGTGAACTAGTAAGCATTCTTGCAGTTTGTGGTCCAAAACTATTTAACGAATATCTGAGAAATGTTCTCATTGGTTCATCTTGTCGAACACTTTTTCCTCGAAGACCATGTGCATTAGTAGAAAGCTGTGATTGTGATGACATGGAAGGACAATCTAAGCAGCGTGCATGTACAAGGAACTAAGTTTTTTTGTTTTTATCAGAATTGCTTGAACCGACCGAATGATGTCAGTGGGGGACAATGTTTCACAAAGGGGACTGATTTTCACCCTTGCAAAGATAAATATTTTATCACTGTTAATTGCTTCAAGTTTTTCTCCCTACGAATGTCTGTCTCGAGTCCCATCGTGACTAGTGACAGTTGGCCAGTTGCTCTACAGTCCTTTAAGGGATACTGCGAAATTATTGTGAACGGCGCACTTGCATTGTGAAACACTCGTTGATTGCACAATTTCTCTTTCATTCTTTATTCTTTGTCTCGTATTGGAAAAAATGGCCAAAGCCGAGGCCACAGTGCACTTTTGGTTGTGTGGTAGGTGGTTAATATCTTGAAAGGTCATTGAAACCCTCAAGGCACCCGGCACTATTGCATTTTAGCTGCTTTGTAGGAGTAAACTGGGCTTTCGAGGTCCCAAGCTCAAAATCTGCCAAAAATATTCCAGCACTGGATTTTCAGACAGCACACTTAAGTTTGGGAATATGAGAAGTATCAATGGAATGTCTGTAAAAAGGAAGACTGGCTGATATACAAAGCTGATTTTATTTGCCTGTGGTGATGATTTGTCAGTTAATGAAGCTAGCTTATTGGTCTTCTGGTTAACACTAAGCCAGAATAAACAACCATGACAACTTTTACGAAACATAAAAAAGACATCATTTACTTGCTTTGGTCATTCATTTGGTGTTTTTACATAAAGTGGCATAAAACAGTGAGATTCAAATTTCGGGATATTCTGGATAATAACTTGTTACAGTTGGTATTTGTTTTAATGTGTATGTGGCCAAATCTGTTGAAAAGAGATTACCCAATGCACCTGACTTGCAGCTGTGGTCAGATAAAAAAAAGCGCAGTGTTGCTTCTTAGTGCCTTGCTGCCGTTGCGAGCACAGTTTTTACCCCACTTACAAATAGCGCAGCCTCCAAGCTTGGCATTTGAGCACAGATCCCTGTGACACGGGCTGCCACACAATTATGCAATGTACATGCACCCAACAGGATGTACTTTTTCTCGATTGCCAATATCGTATTTTCTCTATATATAATGTTGTCGTTTCTGGCCGCCGCCCGTTTGTGCGAAAGTGCAACAACTAGTTGTGCGCGTGCGAGGACTTTTTCCGACGCCCCCCCTTCAGTGCCAAAGTGTTTTACCCTCGTTTTAGCTGTTCTCGGGAGTTGCACAATAGCTCTTACTCACTGTAGGTTAGCATAGTGTTGCTCTTGGCATTTGCCACGCAAGCATGCTGATTGCTGCCAAGTTTTTAATAACCGGGCAACAGCATTGGCTGCTCATCGCAAAGGTTGTCGCTCCTTGAATGTGAAAACCAAGGACACTTGAGGAACGTTGTTATGTTTAGCTGCACCCAGGGTGGATGTAATGAGGGTCTTGTTATTTAATTTTCTCTTTGAGCCTGCATTTTCAGTGGTGATTTCTCTTGAAAAGATATGTTGAATTCCAATGGCGGTGTTGGAGCAAGTTTTTTTGCTCTTTTTAGAGCATGTGTGTTCCAGTGAAAAAGTCGAGGTAAATTTAAAGTGGGAGTGACTCCGAGGAGTAGGAAAAGTTGCTCTGCCGAAATCTGCGAAGTTGACCAAAATTCAGCGTGACAGACTCCCTTTAACACATTTGCCCGCTTGGTGCCGCGGCTGTCGCCGTATTTTGCGACAGCCAAGGCAGAAAGCTCCAGTTGCTGCACGAGCAGTTGATTGGATCGTTTCCCCGACACTTAAACTACTACGTACGAGCGGGAATTCAAGAGAATTTGACAGTGGAATGAGCGGATTGGAGTACCTACACGCAAGGTATTCTGGGCAACTCAAGGACTTCTGCTTCCTCCTTGCTTTTAGGCTTGCTCTGGTGGCACGGATTGTGTTCCAATCGCGGATTGGGAGGGGTTGTTCTACGCCGAAGTCGAGTACTCGCCCAGAGAGTCCATTGGCTGCTCCGACTCTGCCATTGGAATTCAACAATAGTTTTCAGGGAAAACGCAATGCTTCAACAGTGACATGCATTGTTCAGTAGTGCACAGCAGTGTCAGCACTGAATCACAGCGTAAATATGGCGGGTCCGTACAGTATTTTGGGCGAAATGCGCTTTGTCACTAAGCAGTGAAAAGCAGCACCATTTGTGCATTTCTGAAATGTGCAGTGCATGTCTTTTCTTCATATCAGCATGCGAGCAGAAATTTGTGAGAAAAATGTAGCACCTGATACCTCCATATGTCATGTAACTAATTGTAAAATATTATGGCAGTGATGCAGGCATGTGCAGGAAAAGGAACAAAAACGCAACTTTATGTGGCTTGGTAGAATGTTAATGACAAATTGTACATTTACATCGTCGGATATTTGGTCGCAAAAATTAAGTGGCAGGAGTGTCATCTTCCACCGTGGGTACGGAATGTTTAGCGTTCAGTTGATGATTATGTTTGAGTATTTAATTTGTATATGTCGGTCATAAGCCAGACCAAAATTACCTTGCTGCTTGGTATGGGGCAACCACAGTGGCTCCACCACCTGTGGAAGGCTCACTTATCATTATCAGTAGACAGTGTCCGTGACTGTATTAGGCACACGATTTAGGATGCTCTAGAGTTATTTTTCATCTTGCCCTTCGTGCTGGGGCAGTTCACAGCAAAGAGTCTATAGTTCCTTCTAGTGCCTCAGAGCCAAGCACCAAACGGTGCAGCCACTTTGCAGCGATCGAGCCATCCTGCTCTCCAAGTGCTCAAAAAAAACTGTCATCAGTTCTTGTTCTTCCTGTCGTTTGTTCGTGCATTGTCGTAGCATAGTTTCAGCGTCTTCTGAAGAACTGCTTCTCCATTGTTACATTGTTCAATGAAGATACTGGGCTTCAGTACATCCTAGAATTAACTGGTGTGCTATTACAACATAATTAAAAGTTTATCTTTGAATATATAACCTGTATCATGACAAGGATTGGGTGTCTGAATTAGCATTTGGAACCAATGCTCACTCACATTAACCTATGTTTAAATTTACTAATTGAATATTCTAATACCATCTCAGAAGAGAGTGAAGTAGCAAAAAGGTGATCAAGTAATAGCCTCATCATTGTAGCAATGTGTACCTTGCTGTGCAAAAGTGAACAAGCTACCTTTCTGAGGTATGTCGCCAGAACCCAAATAATTAGAGTATGACAGGTCAATAAAACCTGCATCGACTACACTCTTATGAATTGCTTCTTCAGATTTCACACTTTCATGTTGTCCTTTTCAATACAGTCCCATCAAACTTTTTTTTAGAAGCAGCATTTTGCGATCTTCAGAAGTGCGCGCATGACAGCTGCGTTGCCCAACCATTTTGTGTGTCAGTTCAGCTACTTGTTACTCCCGTCAACGCCCACTGCCGAAGTCTGGAACTTTTCTGCAAGTTTCCAGATGCGGGCATTACGTCATGGTTCCTCTCGAGTGACCTGACTTTCTTTCGCAAACGATGCGGCATTTTCTGCTGACAGCTCATTTCGCATTGTTTGCCACTGTGTAAATAAATACAGGGCCTACGTTACACGTTTAGTGTACATGACCATCATGGAGCTTTTCGCCGTTTCCCTCATACAAGCAATGTTGTGAATCATGTGATGTGACACCTGTTATACTGGCTGCCTCGAGAACTGCTCTCGCCCTGTGCTGTGCGTGCGAGTTGATTTATGTCGGCTTGTGAAATTTGTCACGGCATGCATTCTTGTTCTTTCTGCTTTTCGGGTATACTTCAAGAAGTAAAAGACCATCGCGCTCGTTTTATCGCATAGTTTTAGGCGTACTTTGTTGTTTAGTTCTACACACTAACGACACGCATCTCAGCCATTCGCAGTTAGTGACTTGCTTAGTGGCACACCAAATTCACTGTTCAGCTCGAAAGTAGTTTGCATAGGTGTGCCTGCCAGTTGCTTTCGCCCTATTCAGTGATGCCGAGGCACTTCATTTGTTAACATCTCTGTAGATGGTTTGCATCTGGGCTAGTTGGTGGTCCTGCATGTCGAGTGTATGGAGCGAAAATTAGATGTACAAATAAAGAAAAAAGAACAAGACACTTTGCAGCAGTAGGTTAGTGTTCACTCCTTTGTCCATACGCTTAATTTTTGCTAGAAACACACATCTCTCTGGAGCTTTTTTTTTTTTTTTTCGGGGGGGGGGGGGGGGGGATTTTGGAGGACATAAATGTAATTGCAGTGCGATTTTCGGTTGGCACTTCAATCAATTACTTGGGTTGTCACCAAATATGGATAACGCCTGCGATAGTGCCTCTGTTTTGTATGTAGGATACACAAGAGATTTCGAGGGCTGTTGCTACACGCAGAGATCTTATGTTCAATATTTCATGTACACTGCAGGGAGATGCATCGCCTTGCAAAAGAGCTGGCTTGCGAAATTCCGTTGGCGTGGCCTGTTTTTGAAAGCACTGCGCATCACGCAATTTGTATTTTTCTTTCATTTTGTGAATTACAATGCAAAGCTCTGGCCCTCTTTTGTAATAACGATCGGAATTGTCTCACTATTGTAATTAAATTACCACTGTGACGATGTTGTTCACGTGGTCAGCCTGAAATTTTTCGCAAGCAAGCTCCTCCACAAGGAAAGACCCATACATCTTGCTCGCACTATGACCTGCAGTGAGATGAATGGAATTTCGAATGTCCTAAAGTCATGTACTTCGAGCTCAGCAACCTGTGCCGGTCGCAGAATTGCGCGCTTGCCGGTAATATCAAAGTATTTATACGCACCCTCTTTTGTGGATGTATGCTGTGTACTTGGGTGTGCATTTAACCCCTTCAGCCACGTGATTCCTTCGTGGTGAAGACAGCTTCATGCATTCAGTGAATCGACTCTTTGCTCACATGCTGTATAGTAATGCTCTAATATGCTTCGGAGCTCTGTACCTTATCACTCTTGTGAAAGAAAGTTGTTGAGGCCTCTTCTTTTAGAATGAGTTCTGTTGTGCTGAAAAACGTGCAATGAAAACACTAGATTAGTGCAAGTAAATGTCTTACGCTAATGCCGTGCTTATGATAGTATGGATGGATGACCCAAACACCACATTAAATCTAGGGAGGGGGAGGTAAACGTTCATAAAATTAGCGAAAAAAGGCACAATCTCTCACCTTGCTAATGGCACTTCAACTTTGCAACTGTACGGTCAAGTCAGTGGAGCAACACACCACTAGTCTCTGGTGGTACAGTACTCAAAACTGCTTGCGAATGATACATAAGGCAACTGTTTATGTTCTCTTAAGTTAACTCTGCTCTGTAGAACATGCGAGTCATCCAGAAATACTTGTGAAAAGGTACGTTTTACATAACGAGCCTGTTGTTCTTGTCAGCTTTTGTTTCATCAATGTTTCAAAGAAGCTGTAATCAAATGTGAATACTTAAGTGCAATTAGTAACTTGCTTCAACATATCCATGTAGGGCACATGCTCTGTTCTATCACCTGATGTCAGTTTTCTTTTTTTATTTGATATTGTGTGTGTGTGCTATAGGTTATCACCGATCTGCTTAATGTACTTTGATCGGATTTGTACCCAGAAGAGATTTGTGAAGCCTCATGCATGCTGGGATGGTTTCATCTCATGGCCTAGTAATTCCAGAGTATTCAAGAGCAGAGCTATCCTGAGAGGTACCTTAATAACTTGGATTAATATTGCATAATATTCCTCCCTGTTTCAGAATTGCCATTTCTTTAACTCGCATTTAGTGGTTAAAGATTAATCACCCCTCCACGTGTTCTAGTAGTTCTGTGCGCAAGCCTTGTACTGTATTTGGAGAGCAGCGTGCTGCTGTTTCTTGTTTGTGTAAATGAGACCTTGGCTTTGCAGGATTTGATCGCTACTGTCATTTGGCTGCACACTTCCGTTCTAGGTGTAAATACGTATTCGCCTTTCTTTCTGGGCGGTGCCGTCCTAAGCAAGAAATGTGTTCCAGAGCTTTCGTTCCGCTTGGCGCGAGGCAGAGAAAGGCCAGTCGAAAGGCTGGTCGAGGACTCCATCCATTCCTGTTGTGTTGTCTCGTGTCTGTATACGCTGTTTGTTTGTCTTGTCTATACGTCAGGCACACTTTGATGGGCTCGATCGCTGCTGAGCCTCACATACATTATATTATACATGGGACATCCGCTGCAACGACAACTAATAAACTATATATATCTATATCGACACCAGAATGTTGTTCTGTCTTCTTCTCTGCTTAAGCCCTCAATGTTTTGGCAAGTGACATTTCTTGGATTCGTCATGATGTTTGCTATTGTGCTGTGTAGTAGAATGTCATGGCATCCCTGTAGAAGCAGCTGGTGTATGAATCCTCTTAGTAGTACTCTATATTTGAGTACAGTCTTAGAACCAGTCGCATTTCGTCCTCAAAGGTGGATGAGTACGGGCCTGCACCAATTGCACATGCGTGCTATAAATTGACATCATAAGCCGTATGGCTGGCAACTTTACTAACTGGCTGGCTAATTTTTTAGTCGAGAGTGGCAATACAGTTACACATCAATATAACAAACTTAAATATAATAAAACTTTCTCAAGGACTAGGTATTTCACTTTTGACTATTGAACTAGGAAACTATCTCGGGAGACGAAACATCACATTAAGAGATGACAAGCCATGAAAGCCTCAAATAGAACCATCAAAATAGAGCTAGTGGAACTTTTAAGGTTAATCAATAGATGTAAGATAGCCGACATCAGAAGTTATAACACGGAGAGAATCGAGCAGGCTGTAAAAAGCGGCGGAAGCCTAAAAGCTGCGACAGCAATATTGTGCACAGGCAAAAACCGGATGTATGCATTAGGGGACAAGGAAGGCAATGTCACAACCAATTTGTATAGGATGGTCGAGGTGGCAGAGGAGTTCTACAGAGAGCTTTACAGAAGCCGAAACAAGCAGGATAATATCGTAAGAAGCAATAATAGCCCAGAGGAATTCCACGTCCTACCAGTAACGACAGGAGAAGTAATGAAAGCCGTATAAGGAATGCAAAAAGGCAAAGCCGCTTGTGAGGAGAATAAAGTAATAATGGGCGACCTGCTGAAAGATGACGAAGAGATTGTGTTAAAAAAACTGGCCGCCTTATACACGAAGTGTCTTGAAGGAAAAGGTACCGGAATCTTGGAAGAACACCAACATCATCCTAATCCATTAGAAAGGAGATGACAAGGACTTGTAAAATTACAAACTGATCGTGTTAGGTGTCCATTGTCGACAAACTATTTGCAAAAATAATAGCTAATTAGGGCAACATTAGAAGCTCAATTAACCAAAGAACCAAGGAGGATTTTGTACAGGCTGCTCCACAATGGACTATATTCATACTATCAATCAGGTGATGGAGAAATGCTTAGAATACAACCAACCTCTCTACATTGTGAGAAAGCACATGCGCCCATGCTTTCTTTCGCTTTTACAGCAGCATGGCAGCCTAGTTGCGAGGACATGTCTGTCCCTTAGAGAAACGAGACAATGAAGTCTTTTTCGAAGGGACCGGTCACCCCGCCGGCCGGCGCATATTATTTCTCTTTCCCAGCACGTGAGGTGAGTTACCCTCCCTCAGCGAAAAAACCAACCCTCGTTGAGGAGACTGCAAACCGAGAGGTTGGTCAAAATGAGCGTGCCGACAGCGACAGGCTCTCTGTCACTGGACTGGGACAAGAACCTCCGGGTTTCCCTGCGAGCCAAGGCAATCGACAATGAAAGACAGCAAGCGTATGCCCTTTGTTGTCTTCTTAGAGCAGAGAGCTCCCTCTACGCGACGTTTATGCGTTGTGGCTAATGTAGCAATAAAGTGTTG